TTCATATTGCTGTCAGCCCCACTAAAGCTCCTCTATCTAATCCGACATGATCTGTGCTGCATTACCTTTCCCAATACATGCTATGTGCTGGTTTACAACCAATGAATTAGCACTAGCCTGTGCTGGTATAGGAATGGTGTCCACTCTTCAATTCAGAACATTTAACTTGCTTTTTCCTTTCAGGCCACATCACGGTGACCATCAAACATCTGCCTGACTCTTTCCTAGTACTTGCTACGTGCTGTTGTGTGAATCATCAGTAGCACTAGCCTGTGCTTGCAGAGAGCTGGTTTCATCTTCATGCCGCTGTCGGCTAGCTTCCTAAATGCTGCATTTCCTTTCCCAATACACGCTACGTGCTGGTTCGCTAATAATCATTAGCACTAGCCTGTGCTGGTAGAGGAGAGCATCGCAAAATCACCTAGATCAACACTAATTACTACAGAGATTCATTCTTTCCTCTCCGAGCACTTGCTATGTGCTGGTTTGTGCACAACAATTAGCACTAGCCTGTGCTGGTAGAGGAATGGTGATCAGACTGCTATTACGCTTCACTTTTCATTCCCCATTCCAATTACTTATAATGATGTTTTCGTGTCATTTCCTACTCTTTCCTAGTACTTGCCATGTGCTGACTATATTTCTAGCGTTAGCACTAGCCTGTGCTGGTAAAGGATGGGTTTAAGCTTTCATGATTAGTTCACTTATCTCCCCCTCATCTACCAACACTCTAACCTGTAGTTTCACACCAACACAGCAATGTGTGGTGAAGAAAGGTCAGTCACACTTGACTGCATGCTACTCACTGAAGCACATTGTTTTCTTACTGCAATCAAACAATCCCTTCCTAATGAAAACACACACTGCAACTTTGGATGTCAGTCATGTCAACATTTTTACTCTTCTCTAACACTCATCAGCTCACAGAGTTACATTTACTCTGACACTGGCACCATTTACTGTATATATAAGCCCAGACTTCATCATTTCAAATCATTCCCTCTTCAGCACACTAACAAGCAAGACATACGTGCACAACAACATCAGGTAAGTCTGTTTGTGAAACACATTTACTATTATGCTCTTCGTACACTCTAACAAACATGAATCTCCCAAAATTTTCCATATATACACCTCTTACCTTTCCAAGTACTTGCTATGTGCTGATTGTGCAATTCAATTAGCACTAGCCTGTGCTGGTCAGGACTGGGCTCGATAATTCTTCAATCAACAATCTCCTTTGACCAATTTCCTGATTTTACCAAAGTCATAGATTTGCCTGGCTCTTTCCTAGTACTTGCTATGTGCTGTTGTGTACCATCACCAACACTAGCAATGTGCTTGTAGAGAGCATGGTTACATCTTCATATTGCTGTCAGCCCCCAAAGCTCCTCTAATCTTTCCTGTCATTATCTGCATTACCTTTCCCAATACAAGCTATGTGCTGGTTTACAAACAATGAATTAGCACTAGCCTGTGCTGGTATAGGAATGGTGTCCACTCTTCAATTCAGAACATTTAACTTGCTTTCAGATGTCACATCACGGTGACCATGATTCATCTTGACCTTTCCTAGTACTTGCTGTGCTGTTTGTGAATCATCATTAGCACTAGCCTGTGCTGGTACAGAGACTGGTTTCATTTCTGCATTACCTTTGTAACAGCAATGTGCTGGTAGCTAGCAATCATTAGCTCTGACTGTCATTCATTTCCCTAATCATCATTCACTTGCTATGTGCTGGTTTGTGCACAACAATTAGCACTAGCCTGTGCTGGTAAGGAATGGTTTCACTTTAAGTTCATATTTCATTCATTCCAATTACTTATAATGATGTTTACTGTCATTTCCTACTTTTCCTAGTACTTGCCATGTGCTGACTATATTTCTAGCGTTAGCACTAGCCTGTGCTGGTAAAGGATGGGTTTAAGCTTCCATGATTAGTTCACTTATCTCCCTCATCTACACACTACCTGTAGTTTCACACCTCAGCTTGTGTGGTGAACACGGTCAGTCACACTTGACTGCTGCTACTCACTGAAGCACATTGTTTTCTTAAATAAAACAATCCCTTCCTAATGAAAACACACTTGCAACTTTGGATGTCAGTCATGTCAACATTTTTACTCTTCTCTAACACTCATCAGCTCACAGAGTTACATTTACTCTGACACTGGCACCATTTACTGTATATATAAGCCCAGACTTCATCATTTCAAATCATTCCCTCTTCAGCACACTAACAAGCAAGACATACGTGCAAAACAACATCAGGTAAGTCTGTTTCTGAACACATTTCTATTATGCTCTCCTTGTACACTCTAACAAACATGAATCTCCCAAAATTTTCCATATATACACCTCTTTCCTTTCCAAGTACTTGCTATGTGCTGATTTGCAATTAACAATTAGCACTAGCCTGTGCTGGTACAGGACTGGGGTCCATTCTTCAATCAACAATCTCCTTGACCTTTCCTGATTTTACCAAAGTCAACCATAGATTTGCCTGGCTCTTTCCTAGTACTTGCTATGTGCTGTTGTGTACATCACCAGTAGCACTAGCCTGTGCTTGTAGAGAGCTGGTTTCATCTTCATATTGCTGTCAGCCCCACTAAAGCTCCTCTATCTAATCCGACATGATCTGTGCTGCATTACCTTTCCCAATACATGCTATGTGCTGGTTTACAACCAATGAATTAGCACTAGCCTGTGCTGGTATAGGAATGGTGTCCACTCTTCAATTCAGAACATTTAACTTGCTTTTTCCTTTCAGGCCACATCACGGTGACCATCAAACATCTGCCTGACTCTTTCCTAGTACTTGCTACGTGCTGTTGTGTGAATCATCAGTAGCACTAGCCTGTGCTTGCAGAGAGCTAGCTGGTTTCATCTTCATGCCGCTGTCGGCTAGCTTCCTAAAAGCTGCATTTCCTTTCCCAATACACGCTACGTGCTGGTTCGCTAATAATCATTAGCACTAGCCTGTGCTGGTAGAGGAGAGCATCGCAAAATCACCTAGATCAACACTAATTACTACAGAGATTCATTCTTTCCTCTCCGAGCACTTGCTATGTGCTGGTTTGTGCACAACAATTAGCACTAGCCTGTGCTGGTAGAGGAATGGTGATCAGACTGCTATTACGCTTCACTTTTCATTCCCCATTCCAATTACTTATAATGATGTTTTCGTGTCATTTCCTACTCTTTCCTAGTACTTGCCATGTGCTGACTATATTTCTAGCGTTAGCACTAGCCTGTGCTGGTAAAGGATGGGTTTAAGCTTCCATGATTAGTTCACTTATCTCCCCCTCATCTACCAACACTCTAACCTGTAGTTTCACACCTCAGCTTGTGTGGTGAACACGGTCAGTCACACTTGACTGCATGCTACTCACTGAAGCACATTGTTTTTTAAATCAAACAATCCCTTCCTAATGAAAACACACACTGCAACTTTGGATGTCTGTCATGTCAACATTTTTACTCAATGTCTAACACTCATCAGCTACAGAGTTACATTATATACATTACATTTACAGATGTAAAGCAGGTTCAATGTATTTGATGAAAGCAAATATCAAATACCATAGAGAGTGTCATCAGCAAGCTAGACTGTTGACCTACATGATCTCTGACACTTGGGGGAAGATTTGAGGTGTATGGTTTGACTCTCTCTACAAGGGTGTGGCTTGTTTCAGGAAGCTGATCTGTGCTGACATGTCCTTGGGCAAGATCTGTACACTGCATTTACCCTAATTGCTCTGAATGGCATGTGACAAGCCTCCCTTAAGTAGTTCAGCCTGCTCAATTGTAGCTACCAGCTACTACAAGGAGACCCCACCTCAAAATAACCCTGGCTGTTCACAAGGTGATTTACCTAGCAAACAAACAAGATCTATGCGTCTCATGGAAATCCAAGACTTTTAACACTTTGTGTTTTACATAGATTGATCCTGGTTACATTTTTAATACTCTCTTATGTATCTTACAATACATATACAGGTAAAAATGTGGTGTAAAATGTGACAAATGACACTAGAATTAACAATATTACATTGTATTGCATTGTATTGTGTATAGCAGATTAACACAATCATTATAATCATCATTTTGATCAACATATAAATCATACCCATCATTGGAACATTTTCTTTACCTAGATGCTTTTTCTATATATCTAATTCATAATTTCTTTGTATTCAACATTGGACATTGAGATTGTCAAGCCAATGAATTTCTAAACCAAATTTGATGTAACAGACAGCAACTGAAATATTTTCCCATTGAGGTTATCAGTTTGTCTAGGCAGATGCCTGGCATTCTAGGTTGTTCATGTAACAGTATCTTAAAATCACTTGTTTAACAGTTTTTCATTTTCAAAATCAGGTCTAGCAATGGACTTTACTGAGACATCTGAACAAACTCCAGGGTCATTTCAGGATGTGCCTGGTTTGGGTTGTTGAAGAAAGCTGTATCAGTACCTGTTGACTGCCCTACATAGGCCACAAACCAACAACCCAAAGGCAGAGGGCTAGTGATAAAGATGGTCAGGCGTCTCTACCACTTGGCCACTGTTGACCCTGTAAAGTTACCAGTAGATGCCAACACTGCACAATGAGTAATTGATGTTGCTCATAAATCTTTAAATATTTATTCTAAAGGTATGTCATATAAAAAAATTTAATCTTGAAATCTTGCATCCCGAATGTAATCAATAATATCTACTCTAAAAGTTGTCTTTAAAATTTTACTTCAAAGTTAATTTTATCCACTCATACTTAAATAGATACTTATTTAACAGAAATATTCTTATTGCTTAAAGGATATTGTTAAACTTGTTTATCCAGTATCTGACATCATCAATGTCTCGTGTAAATGGATACTATGGACATAAAGATAGTTGTTACAGAAGTTGAGGGCACCTGTAGATAACACATTGAGTATAATCATTCACGTGACATGGTGTAATGTAACCTTTTTTCACTGTCTGTCAGTGATGTACCTTCTTGACTTTTTGTATGTGTACAGCAGAAACTGTGGGGACTTTATCTTCCTTTGCTGCATCCTGTGCTGCATTTGCTAGTCTTTGCATCATGAGCAGATATTCCAGCCAGAGCTGTAAAGTAAAACATATTGAGACAAAGATCATTCCAAAATCATGACATTTCAATTTATATATATTATTTCAATAAGATATAATTACATACATACAAACAAGTAAAGCAATTTCAATGTTAACTAAATGATAACTAAAACAGAATTTTTCTTAATTTTGTTGGCAAAGGAAAATTATTTCCCCCTTCATTCAAATCAATTATGCATTATATAAATGTAGCTAACACATACTTCTGTAGAGAAGTGTTGAAAGGATGAAAAGTGAAGATGTTGTTATTTGTATTGTGATCCTCATATTGAATACCCACTTAAATGTATTGCATCTGATTTAATTTGGAGTAGCGGTTCAGATTAAAAGGAAGAATAACTAATTACGATCTTTTCTTGCAAGCCAATAGCAAAAGATCTTGACTCTTGGTCTCTTCGTTATTCAGACTTGTGGAAACTAAAAATGTTTGAACATACTTAACCACTGTGACATTGAAAATAGGCCAAGGACATTCAATTAAACAAAATCAAAAGCCTTTCATCTCATAAATATTTTATATAGATATCCTGATCCTGGGGTACTGGGCTATTAAGACAGCGTTGTTTAAAATGCTATGACATTTATCTGACCCCTACTATATAATGGATATTTGCAATTGTTGCTCAATTGAACAAGCTTGATAGCCTAGTGCTATGAACAGAAGTATCAAAGCATCTTGAGCAATGTAATTATATAATTAATGCTTTTGGGCAGATGAACTTAAGTCATATCAATGATTGTGTTTTTGGCATTATCTGATGATGAGGTTATGATCATACACTTCAAACCTGTTGAAAAGAATAATCAAGTAAAAACTGAAAGATCCAGCTGAGACAACGAAATGCAAATTAACTTCAACTTAAAAGTTAGAATTACCCACACAGGGGTAAATCGGAGCTTTAAACAGAAACTCATTAATGACTCTCTTTGATGACACCACTTCACAGGGCTTTGTTTCGAATCCCTTCATTGTATGTCCCCGGATTGAGATTTCTGAAATCTCAAGGAAAACAGAGGTGTTGTTTGCTATATTGCTGCTTTATGTACCATTAACAGCCAGGGTCATTTAAGGACATGCTAGATTTGGGTGATGGAGGAAAGCCAGGCTTCGAGAGAAAAACAGCCAACCTGCAGCCAGTACCTGGTGACTTCCACACCAAGGTGCAGGGCTAGTGATCAAGACGGTCAGATACCTTAACCACTGCGGACCCTCAAAAGCCTTGTGGTTTGTATAAAACCCATATCTCCGGTCAGAACAAAAATGTGTTTTACAATATCGTTTAATCTAATATATAAATCACAACCTAATCTAATACATGACAAAATAAGCCTTTACATTTCATTTTCAGGTTTCATTGAATGAACCAGCATTGAATCATACCTTAAATTTGTTTTATTTGTCATTATACTTTCATGAGCTCACAACCAGAGGAGCAGAACATCATTGATTAAAGCATATCATGAAATATTGTATATATTTCATACAATGGTACACAACATGTCAAATATCCTCCTAGTTATGAAAAATAAAACATCGGAGTCATTTGAATCAAAAGATATAAGGATGTCCAAACATAAACAATAAAATTTTGAATTAATCTAACCATAGTTTCATTCATTTAGTTAATGTTATAAAAAGGAAGGTACCAAGAAATGTGGCTCATTTGAGATATAAGGATGAAACAATAAAATTTTGAATCTAACCCTTTAGAAAAGGTGAACTCAATAAACACTGATATCCACTATTTTGCACCATGATGTTTTTTTTATAATTTCATTCCCGTTCAGTTAACGATTTTATGTAATATACATGTTCTTCTTGGCCGCTATATGCTAAATCAAGTGTCTCTGTAAGTTAGTGTTGTCATCAGAAACAGAAGTACAGACACATGTCTGAAACATGATTTGGTCATTTCAGGTGAGCAAATTTGAGGTTGTATCTGTGGAGACGATTTAGTATAAGGCTGGTGTTGAGATTAATCCTCATGGCTAGCTAGGGAGACTAAATTCTTCAGGGGTCTGAAACTAATGCACCACAGATATACAGTGACAAGCCATAAATACTCTGTCACAATGGCTTGCATGTTTTTGCTCTCTGTTGGGGCCATATGTTAAAAGGCCTTGGCCATGGGTTTGTGCTTCACTAACAATGATGCATGCTATTTTAAACTTTCTTGGCAAGATGTGACGTACTATTTTTTGTTGTCAACAAAAGACCAAACAGCAGGCCATGATCAGTGAGCAAATAGTAAATAGCAAGTTAGAACAGACTACAAAAACAAACAGGAGGTTTTCGTTGAGTGATATAACAACTGAATTTAATGAAGAAAGTAATATTCATTTCTCAAAATGAATTTTTCACCACCATCAAGACAAACATGTATGTAATAGAGGTGTTTCCAAGGAAAAACTTGTGGTGAAAAAGAGAATCAGGAAAAGAGACTTGCGTGGAGCAGAGAAGAGAAACGGCCATAAGAGAAACCCCATCCCATCAGGACACACTTGATAAACAACGAATACGAAGTAATGATTTTGGGCTGCATTTGTTTGTATGCTGTGGGGACACTGACTGCTATAGATGGGAATACCAATGTTTTGATATATCAATATATGTTGGAAGAGCATCTCTGGCCTGTAATACAAAGGCATTTTCCTGCATGTGGTTATTTTTTCCGAGACGGTAACGCGCCCGTACATTGTGCAAGGTCCACCCAGGAATATGTTGGCTGGAATGGAATCAACTGCATAATTTGCCCTGCAGTCACCAGATATAAATCAAATTGAAAATGTTTGGTTGTACGTCAAAATAAAATTCCAACACTTGTTAAATCGACTGAAGACTTATTCTGGGAAATAAGAATCTGGATGGAAATCACACTTCCCTACATCTAGAGCTTATATAAATCGATCCCAAGGCGGATTTTAAACGTGATCAGATTAAAGGGACGACTAACAAAGTACTTAAGGTAAGCGTGATTTCATTGTTAGTTTACCTCTCAGCTATATTTTATGTCGGCCGTATTTTTATCAAAATGTAAACACGCCGCCATCGTGACCGAAAACTTCTGGTATGTCATTTAAGATTCACTATAGCTCATGTTATATTCTGACCCCGAATAAAGCCAATGTGAACAAGCTTACCAAGAGATCAACTTTGGATTGCTTGATTGTGGATCTTTTCACATTCTTCTTCACTTGTGACCTAAATTTGGTCTGTGGACACTTTGGAATCATTTTGAGTTTCGAATAGGGCGCCTCACATTTGTATTCCCTCGGTAGAAGATTTCCATATCCGGTATTTCACTTCCTGTTTAGGCTCCTCGTGTCCAATAATCGTACTGAAAAACATTTTGTCATCAAAATGGCAAAAACAAGTACCAAGAAACCAAGAATTAGAGACCATGTCAACAAATCAAAACATAGCATGAATCCAGGTGAGTTTAAAGTTGGTAAAATAGGGAAAAAGCACCAGGCGTGAAGAACAATTCGACTCGAGCTTAAAGTTACTGGACAGCTGCACATGCCATGGGAAGAAGGGGTATTTCCTTCTGCATTATGGTACATATATATGTAACCCTGGTAAAATTAGCCAAAATGTACCGCTCGGCTGGAGAGGAATTATCTTGAGCTCTATCGGTTGAGCATCAGAATTGTAAATCAGAGGTCCTGAATTTGAATCCTTGCAGAGACATTAAAATAAATAATGACCTGTTACATGTATTTTGTCAATTAGATGGATTTTCAGTGATTTTTGGGAGACATATATTTGAGTCATTTCATGTAAATGTGGGACTAAAATTTTGAGAGCCCACAATATCTCTTGAGTATTGGGATTGGAGTTGGTGCTCTGGACTCACCTATAGAATAGAACAAAAGTACTGATTATTATATCGGGTATGGGAAGTTTAACAGACATTGTTATAACCTTATGCAGATGGTGAAATATTCAAATTCATTTACTGGGTCTAAGTTTAGAATCTTCGTATTATCCTAACTTGATAATTTTAATTACAAATTAAAGTGGGTCAATTCAGTATGATTGCATTGTTTCAACATGTTGAAACATTCTTGTGATGATGGTCTGGACATAATACATGTATTTTATTTATTATGTTACTGATTTTAATCAGAGGGGAGTGGGGACAGGCTATTACCTACATCAGATAATAGTAAGATGCATGCACTCATTGTTTTGAAATTGATATAGATATCTCTCATAAGGTTTTAACTCACTTACTATCAGAGACCGTAGATTATAAGATGAAATATCATTCTTGAAAAATTGCAATGATGAATTTGATGTTTGTCCAGGTTACCAAACATAATGTAATTTGATCATAATCTATCTCTTATTTGCTAGGTTTGTTCTCCAAGTAGCCATGATTATTGACAGATTTGTGCGTGTTTATATACAAATTAATCATATTCACAGTAAATGACCTATCTTTTGCTCTCATATTTACATTCTTTTATAAAAATAATGTCCAGGTAGAGAGCTTATTTAATGAAATGTGTATTTGATTGGCTTTATGCATATATGTATTCAAGGTAAAATTATTTCTCATACATTGATGGTTTTTTGTGAGTTGGATATTAGGTCATGAATGGGAATAAGTATGAAATTCCATTTCAATGACAATGTGGTGCATTGTATTTGAAAACCCCAACAAACAGTCAGTTACAACTATATAGAATATAAGAATATTTCTGATATATAGAAATAAATGTGTTATCACCTAAACCAATTATCTGTAGTAGTATCTATAAGACCAATTTCCATACTGCAATTTTTCAAAACTAAATCATTTGTTTGTTGGTTTGTGTTTTTTTTTGTTACAGACAGAAAGAAAGGCGAAGGAGGAGCCAATATGCGTGATCGTGCCACAATCAAACGTCTGCAGATGTACAAAAATTTCAAACCAAAAAGGTAGGTTTCTATACGAAAGTATTGACTGTGTGATATAAATGGAAATCAGACTATCTGATTTGTTCTCTTCAGACTTTTATGATAACAGTCAAGGTCATGTATAAGTAAGTGTCACTTTCATATGTGGAATGTGTTTTGTACGCTACATGTGATCATATACACTCAAGTTATTGAACACTTTATATAATTTTTATTATCTGCGCATTAAAATTTGTAGGGATAAGACAGGCAAGATCACTAAAGCCGCTCCTTTCCAGTCTCGCCTTCCTTCTGGGAGTGTAGCTAGAGTTGAACCCAATAGGAAGTGGTTTGGTAAGCTCGAAATTTACAAGCACTTTTTAAGTAGTATTGTAAGCATGAAAAGTGGGCCAAAAGTAAATTGAAGCAAAGACAATAATATCATTATGGCATAATCAAAGATCATGTGACCTATTCATTTGTTTTGCCAACCTCTTTTAGTTCTAACTTTTTACTTTAATTTACACTGGCTAATACCAGGTAATAGTAAATAATTAATAAGTTTCCTTTGATATCTGTTTACACAAACAGTTATGAAAGATAAATATGTGTATAAAGTATAGTTATATTTTTTATGTGTTTTTGGTATATTTTTATTTTAACAGGAAACACAAGGGTTATAACACAGAGTGCTCTACAAACTTTTCAGGAGGAGATGACCAAAGTCAAGAAAGACCCTTACAAAGTGGTGATGCGACAGACAAAACTCCCAATTACCCTTCTTAATGAAACAGCAAAAGTAAAAATCTAATTTACTTACTGATCTCAACATTATACTCAATAAATAAACATAGAAAAGGAAGACATTCTGATGTTAACTTGTGTTTTAGTTTTTTTGATGAAGTACAATTTCTGTATTACTGCATGTCATGTCTTCATGGATTTTGTAATTTATCAAAATGTCAACACAGACTTATAGATACTGTGTATTAAGTTTTGATTCATGTGTTATTATGTCAGTTTTCAATTTGAAATGATTGTCGTTTAAAACAATTCAACATTAATCTGAAATGAATCATGTTGTATGTTTTACTGATAGATTCTGTGTTTTTAGAAACCTTATCAATATGGGATTTATCATGCTTCTAACAACTTTAATGTTTTACAGCATGCAAGAGTACATCTCTTAGATACAGAAAGTTTTGAATCAACATTTGGAAAAAAATCACAGAGAAAAAGACCTAACCTGAAATTTGAAGATATGCAGGTATTGAGACACTGACTGCTGTACTGTTTCATAAGCTATTTATTTTGTGGGAAAATGTGTATTGATGTAATAGTGTCATGTGATGGTCAGAGTAGATAAGTTGAGGATATGCAATGTATCTTAATAAGTAACAGTTGTATTTCACAGAGTTAGGTTAAAACATTTTTCAGAAGTATGCTTATATTTTCATCATAAGATCTTATAAAAGTTGTAATGTCTCAATTTCTATTTTATATAATAGATTTTTTTATCAATCTTGGTATCATTTTGTGGTTTGTTTGATTTACTTTGAGTAGAATAAATCATTCTTTTATGTTTGAATTTTTTCAGGCTTTAGTGGAACAGGCATCCTCTTCAGCAGATAAATATGACTCAGGAAAAGACCGTGATCTTGTAACAGAGGAACCAGAATTTAAAGAAGAAATGCCAGAAATCATCTTCAAAGCAGGACAATCGAAACGAGTGTGGGGAGAACTTTACAAGGTGAGACAGGGATGATTGATAATGAAACTATTTTTTTCTTTCTTCATTGTCTTTATCTGCTATAAAGGGATGCTACCTGCAAATGGCCCTGGTTAAACTCTTGTTCATGTATCAATCTGCCCAATTCAGTTCCATCCCTTGGATATTATCTATTTTCTGTTTTCATTTTCTTTTTATCTACTACAAAGAGCCCCACCTCAAAATGGCCTTGGCTGTTCATCTGTCAATCTGTCCTAATCAGTTCCATCCCTTGGCTATCAACTGATCACCAGTGCTCAGTTATTCTGTACATTAAAATGGAAAAATACAAGTTGGTTTATAAATGCATTTGTGTGACAATGCTATGTTATTTTCATTGTAGTAATTTCAAAACAGTTTCATCTGATAAACTTTTGGCTTATGTTACATTTTTGCCCCTGTGATGAAGGCTTTAGGTTCTGGCTCTTGGTCGAGACTTACTAGTTTTTTTTTAAAATGGTAGTAATTATTCTGGTTGAAGCTTAGCATGATGATAGTGTAACATCCATGGTCAGTATGGTGTGACCAGGTGTGATGTCCTGTTGATTGCCTCTATCAGTGTACTTGGTGTTGTAGCATTGCAAATTTGGCATCAATGCAGCACTAACCCGAACATGTCATAGCATCCTGAGAACACATTCACTCACTTCACCAACATAGGGAGGCTGTCCTCAATTGATGCTTAAACCTTCTGATACAAAGCCAAAATATTAACATTTTTTTCTGATATTTAAATAAATTATGCATTTTTACAACCCAAAAAATTTCGAGTAAATGGAATTTTGTCAACATTATTGAGGTTCTGCCATTTTCATAATAAAACAACTGGATCATAATCCCTTACATGCTTATTTCATCATGCTTAATAAGAATATTCTGGAACTGTGTTTATGAATGGATCATCATTAGGCAAAGTACAAAAGCAAATATAGTTTATTATATAGTAATTACATTATATAAACTACACAAACAACAGTTGTCACTATGAGACAGTCAGAACATTTTATTTAAGTAAGTTTGAAAAGGAAGTTATGAAATGTTTAACACTGTATATCTGTAGTGAATGATTTTTCAGGTGATAGATTCATCAGATGTGGTGGTGCAGGTATTGGATGCACGAGACCCACTTGGCACCAGGTGTTACCAGATAGAACGCTACATGAAAAAGGAAAAACCACACAAACATCTCATCTTTGTCCTTAACAAAGTTGACCTCATTCCAGTCTGGGTAACTGTGAGTACTTGTTTCTTTCCAAATTTTACTCCATTTGTATTAAGTGATGTATCATACAAATTAATGCCTTTGGATATAAATATGCTCAGTCTTACCTTGAAATACCTTAATTGGAACATGTTCTTCAAGTTGGTAATGTCAGTAGAATAGAAGTTCTTATATCACAACCAGTAGAATGTCACATGATTTTCAACCTTGGTGTTAATTGCTTGATTGCTTAAAACCTCCTACTCTACATATGTCAGTGTTAGTATGTCTCACACTGGAATTTGCCTGATGAAGGTGATTGGTTTTATTATAAGAACTTCTATTCTATACTCTTAATGGACTTGTTTGATTTGATTTTGTTCATCTTATTTACATTTCTTGTTATAAACATAAAAAAGTTAAATCGATAGTGTCACTTTTGTTTAAATTAAGCTTTAATTTGGTCATGTTCTTTATTGCATTTCTTTAATTCCATGGCCATGTTTAAAGTTTCACACATGTATCAAATATATTTATTCCTCAGCAAAAATGGGTGGCTATTCTGTCGTCCGAATATCCTACAATGGCTTTCCATGCCAGCATCACCAACCCATTTGGGAAAGGTTCTCTCATTAATCTTCTTCGACAGTTTGCCAAGGTAATACATCGTTGTAGGATTACATGATATCTACTGGTAATAATTAATTCTTTGTTGTTGGTATGCAAAATGAAATTTTCTGATTCATTAAACTTTTCTTTTCATTTCTCCACAAAAAAATCTTGATAATGGTTAAAGGAATCAATGACAACACTTTCCTTTTTAGTACGAATGTAATATCTGTTTACACATTCACCAGGTGTATGAATCGCTGTCATTCAATTATGTAAACAAAAAAGGGACTTCAACACCCTAAATATTCAAATATCTTACAATTTACACAAGAAATTAACAACAAATAAATAAAAGGGTTAAACATGTGATTTTGTACTTTTAGACATTTGAAACTTTGGATTGAAAGCAATATTGCACCACCAGATAAAAACAACATCTGCCTTTAAATTTAATGTCTGACTTAAGATTTCAGGATGGATTTCATTCTTGGTTGTTTTTGTGGCTTTGATGCTAATAAAATCAAAAAGGTTTTTAGCTCACCTGGCCTGACAGAATTGCCCACTTAGAATGCCAAAGGTGTACATATCAGTATATGTGATATTACCAATGATTCTATTTTTGATGATAATTGAATACCAGATGAGCGAAGTAGACCGATTGTGCCTCTTGTTATTTCATACCAGCATGAAACTAAAGTATATTCCTATCAAAGCTTAAATGACTGATTTCTGGTATAGAATTACCTGAGATTTACAGGTAATGGTAGATTTCTAGTGTAAGATTACACATGATTTACAGGTAATGATGAGTGTAAGATTACAGGTAATGATAGATTTCTAGTGTAAGATTACACATGATTTACAGGTAATGATATGTGATTTCTAGTGTAAGATTACATGATTTACAGGTAATGATAGATTTCTAGTGTAAGATTACACGTGATTTACAGGTAATGATACATTTCTAGTGTAAGATTACACATGATTTACAGGTAATGATAGATTTCTAGTGTAAGATTACACATGATTTACAGGTAATGATAGATTTCTAGTGTAAGATTACACATGATTTACAGGTAATGATAGATTTCTAGTGTAAGATTACATGATTTACAGGTAATGATAGATTTCTAGTGTAAGATTACACATGATTTACAGGTAATGATAGATTTCTAGTGTAAGATTACACATGATTTACAGGTAATGATTTCTAGTGTAAGATTACACATGATTTACAGGTAATGATAGATTTCTAGTGTAAGATTACATGTGGTTTACAGGTAATGATAGATTTCTAGTGTAAGATTACACATGATTTACAGGTAATGATAGATTTCTAGTGTAAGATTACATGTGGTTTACAGGTAATGATAGATTTCTAGTGTAAGATTACACATGATTTACAGGTAATGATAGATTTCTAGTGTAAGATTACATGTGATTTACAGGTAATGATACATTTCTAGTGTAAGATTACAGTGTACAGTAATTATTACACATGATTTACAGGTAATGATAGATTTCTAGTGTAAGATTACATGTGGTTTACAGGTAATGATAGATTTCTAGTGTAAGATTACACATGATTTACAGGTAATGATAGATTTCTAGTGTAAGATTACACATGATTTACAGGTAATGATAGATTTCTAGTGTAAGATTACACATGATTTACAGGTAATGATAGATTTCTAGTGTAAGATTACACATGATTTACAGGTAATGATAGATTTCTAGTGTAAGTGGTTTACAGGTAATGATAGATTTCTAGTGTAAGTGATTTACAGGTAATGATAGACATGATTTACAGGTAATGATAGATTTCTAGTGTAAGATTACATTTCTAGTGATTTACAGGTAATGATAGATTTATAGTGTAAGATTACACGTGATTTACATGTAATGATAGATTTCTAGTGTAAGATTACATGTGGTTTACAGGTAATGATAGATTTCTAGTGTAAGATTATTTCTATGTAAGATTACACGTGTTTACAGGTAATGATAGATTTCTAGTGTAAGATTACATGTGGTTTACAGGTAATGATAGATTTCTAGTGTAAGATTACATGTGGTTTACAGGTAATGATAGATTTCTAGTGTAAGATTACATGTGGTTTACAGGTAATGATAGATTTCTAGTGTAAGATTACACGTGATTTACAGGTAATGATACATTTCTAGTGTAAGATTACACATGATTTACAGGTAATGATAGATTTCTAGTGTAAGATTACACATGATTTACAGGTAATGATAGATTTCTAGTGTAAGATTACACATGATTTACAGGTAATGATAGATTTCTAGTGTAAGATTACACATGATTTACAGGTAATGATAGATTTCTAGTGTAAGATTACACATGATTTACAGGTAATGATAGATTTCTAGTGTAAGATTACACATGGTTTACAGGTAATGATAGATTTCTAGTGTAAGATTACATTTCAGTGTAAGATTACACATGATTTACAGGTAATGATAGATTTCTTGTAAGATTACAGTGATTTACAGATTACAGGTAATTAGATTTCTAGTGTAAGATGATTTACAGGTAATGATAGATTTCTAGTGTAAGATTACACATGATTTACAGGTAATGATAGATTTCTAGTGTAAGATTATGATAGATTTCTAGTGTAAGATTACACATGATTTACAGGTAATGATAGATTTCTAGTGTAAGATTACACATGATTTACAGGTAATGATAGATTTCTAGTGTAAGATTACACATGATTTACAGGTAATGATAGATTTCTAGTGTAAGATTACACATGATTTACAGGTAATGATAGATTTCTAGTGTAAGATTACACATGATTTACAGGTAATTAGATTTCTAGTGTAAGATTACACATTATTTACAGGTAATGATAGATTTCTAGTGTAAGATTACACATGATTTACAGGTAATGATAGATTTCTAGTGTAAGATTACATGATTTACAGGTAATGATAGATTTCTAGAGTAGGATTACATGTGATTTACAGGTAATGATAGATTTCTAGTGTGTAAGATTACATTTCTAGTGTAAGATTACATTTACAGGTAATGATAGATTTCTAGTGTAAGATTACATGTGGTTTATAGGTAATGATAGATTTCTAGTGTAAGATTACATGTGGTTTACAGGTAATGATAGATTTCTAGTGTAAGATTACATGTGGTTTACAGGTAATGATAGATTTCTAGTGTAAGATTACACATGATTTACAGGTAATGATAGATTTCTAGTGTAAGATTACATGTGATTTACAGGTAATGATAGATTTCTAGTGTAAGATTACACGTGATTTACAGGTAATGATAGATTTCTAGTGTAAGATTACATGTGGTTTACAGGTAATGATAGATTTCTAGTGTAAGATTACATGTGGTTTACAGGTAATGATAGATTTCTAGTGTAAGATTACATGTGGTTTACAGGTAATGATAGATTTCTAGTGTAAGATTACATGTGGTTTACAGGTAATTAGACAGGTAATGATAGATTTCTAGTGTAAGATTACATGTGATTTACAGGTAATGATACATTTCTAGTGTAAGATTACATGTGGTTTACAGGTAATGATACATTTCTAGTGTAAGATTACACATGATTTACAGGTAATGATAGATTTCTAGTGTAAGATTACACATGATTTACAGGTAATGATAGATTTCTAGTGTAAGATTACATGATTTACAGGTAATGATAGATTTCTAGTGTAAGATTACATGTGGTTTACAGGTAATGATAGATTTCTAGTGTAAGATTACACATGATTTACAGGTAATGATAGATTTCTAGTGTAAGATTACACATGATTTACAGATAATGATAGATTTCTAGTGTAAGATTACACATGATTTACAGGTAATGATACATTTCTAGTGTAAGATTACACATGATTTACAGGTAATGATAGATTTCTAGTGTAAGATTACACATGATTTACAGGTAATGATAGATTTCTAGTGTTTCTAGTGTAAGATTACACATGATTTACAGGTAATGATAGATTTCTAGTGTAAGATTACACATGATTTACAGGTAATGATAGATTTCTAGTGTAAGATTACACGTGATTTACAGGTAATGATAGATTTCTAGTGTAAGATTACACGTGATTTACAGGTAATGGTAGATTTCTAGTGTAAGATTACACGTGATTTACAGGTAATGATAGATTTCTAGTGTAAGATTACACATGATTTACAGGTAATGATAGATTTCTAGTGTAAGATTACACGTGATTTACAGGTAATGATAGATTTCTAGTGTAAGATTACACATGATTTACAGGTAATGATAGATTTCTAGTGTAAGATTACACGTGATTTACAGGTAATGATAGATTTCTAGTGTAAGATTACACGTGATTTACAGGTAATGATACATTTCTAGTGTAAGATTACACATGATTTACAGGTAATGATAGATTTCTAGTGTAAGATTACACGTGATTTACAGGTAATGATACATTTCTAGTGTAAGATTACACGTGATTTACAGGTAATGATAGATTTCTAGTGTAAGATTACACGTGATTTACAGGTAATGATAGATTTCTAGTGTAAGATTACATGTGATTTACAGGTAATGATACATTTCTAGTGTAAGATTACACATGATTTACAGGTAATGATAGATTTCTAGTGTAAGATTACATGATTTACAGGTAATGATAGATTTCTAGTGTAAGATTACATGTGGTTTACAGGTAATGATAGATTTCTAGTGTAAGATTACATGTGATTTACAGGTAATGATAGATTTCTAGTGTAAGATTACACATGATTTACAGGTAATGATACATTTCTAGTGTAAGATTACATGTGGTTTACAGGTAATGATAGATTTCTAGTGTAAGATTACACATGATTTACAGGTAATGATAGATTTCTAGTGTAAGATTACACATGATTTACAGGTAATGATAGATTTCTAGTGTAAGATTACATGTGGTTTACAGGTAATGATAGATTTCTAGTGTAAGATTACATGTGGTTTACAGGTAATGATAGATTTCTAGTGTAAGATTACATGTGGTTTACAGGTAATGATAGATTTCTAGTGTAAGATTATATGTGGTTTACAGGAAATGATAGATTTCTAGTGTAAGATTACATGTGGTTTACAGGTAATGATAGATTTCTAGTGTAAGATTACATGTGGTTTACAGGTAATGATACATTTCTAGTGTAAGATTACACATGATTTACAGGTAATGATAGATTTCTAGTGTAAGATTACACATGATTTACAGGTAATGATAGATTTCTAGTGTAAGATTACATGTGGTTTACAGGTAATGATAGATTTCTAGTGTAAGATTACATGTGGTTTACAGGTAATGATAGATTTCTAGTGTAAGATTACATGTGGTTTACAGGTAATGATAGATTTCTAGTGTAAGATTACACATGATTTACAGGTAATGATACATTTCTAGTGTAAGATTACACATGATTTACAGGTAATGATAGATTTCTAGTGTAAGATTACACATGATTTACAGGTAATGATACATTTCTAGTGTAAGATTACACATGATTTACAGGTAATGATAGATTTCTAGTGTAAGATTACACATGATTTACAGGTAATGATACATTTCTAGTGTAAGATTACACATGATTTACAGGTAATGATACATTTCTAGTGTAAGATTACATGACTCTTTGTCTGTATAGACTTGATGGGATTTAAGGATTATATTGATTTTATTATTATTGATATCTACACATATTCCTAATGTGATATTTACTTTCTGTTAGACACTCCCAAATTATATATATATCTATATATTCAAACTTACTATTAAGCTGTAAAATATATTTTCTGCAGAACACTTTTCCCTGTCTGTTTAGAATGTCATGAGGAGAATCTTGAATATATTGTGTATTAAGGTACCCACCTGCTTTCATAAGGAGATCCTGCTTCCGTATAACCCTGACATTTCACTGGGCATTAGACTAAGTAAATAATAAAAAATCTACATTGTGATCATAAAATATTGAGATTAAGTATATTGACCCCACAGTCAAAAATAATTCATTGTCATTACTGTTTTAGTACCAGCTTTTAACGAGAGATAATTTTTTTTCCTCACCAGCTTCACACAGACAAGAAACAGATAAGTGTTGGATTTATTGGTTATCCAAATGTTGGAAAAAGCTCCATCATCAACACCCTTCGAGCCAAGAAAGTCTGTAATGTTGCACCTATAGCAGGAGAAACAAAGGTAATCTTGGTTACAATCTGGTTTTATCATTTTGTATTTCAATATTTACTGCAGAATGACCAACAGTCATGGCCCGTTATATTTGACCAATGGAATTCTGATTATCAGCTTTATTCAAATATATGACCTTGACTTACTTTCGTTGTCACAAGGATAAAATTTCTACACATGCAAAAACAATTTTTGAATGAACAATAGGCCAAGGGTTATGAAGGGTTAAGTAGCATGCTGAGATCTATCGAGTTAAAATTAATGACCCACTTTTCAAGGTTATGAATTTTATATGTATTAAAAGGTCTTCAGATATCTGGGTTCTTTTTCACAATGAGAAGTTTTTAAGGTCATGATATTTGCCTTTTGATTGGAAATGTGTTTGGATGAAGGGTTTTCATGTTTATTCAAATTAAAGATTTATAGATCCTAGGTATTAAATGTATTGAAATATCAAATGCCTTTTAGACAACCAAAACACTATAAAAATGGGAAACACAATTCCACCTGGAATATACTTGAAAGAAAGCATATTAAGTTTGAGAAAAAACGTAAATGTTGCAAAAATAAGTTATTCCAACAAAGTCTGCTCTTCATTATTTTGGGTATTCTGTACAGAAATCACATTTATGTTTGTACATTGTTTTCTTCGAACATAAATCTTATTAATGCTTGATAATAAAGCATAAGGCCTGGAAACACAATTATAGAATAACAAAGTAAAGTGGAAAAATGGCTTCTCATATGAGATGTAATTATTGTTTGTATACTTAATACTCATTTAAGTATATGTATACTACACAAAAGTAATCAAATCCTTGTATAAACATGTTACTATGGTACCACGTAATGTAAAGCAAGTAGGATACACAACAAATGGTTTCTGTATGCAGCTGTATGTTATTTCATTCATTCAGGTTATTTTTCAATAAATACAAAATAACTACTTCAGCAATTTTTTTTTGTAACTGTTGAAAAATAACTAATGGGAGTGAAAGAAACATCATATACGGCTATCATTTAGTTTGTGTGACCTGTTTCTAGTTTCTGATGACCGACACGTATCAATCAAAACAGGTAGACGGGTTATTCATAAGAAATAACATAAACACCAGTTCTTGGATGTTGAGCATCCTTTATTTTATTATTATAGTTCAATAAAAGAACTATTATGATGATGAATTAACCTGTTGTGTACCAACATGTGTTGTGTTCACATTATCTTGGGATGTAATGATAATAAGTTCATCATGTCATTGTCAATGAATCAAAAGTTCAATCCAACTGTGATTTTATCTTTTTTTCTTTTTTCTCAACAAGCTTTGATATTTGATTGATGCTTTGGTAATTGAGTAACACCCACATATTGTGGTAGAGTACCTGTTTGTCACTGAAATGTTACAAAGGTTATATGTCAAATGATTTTGTAGGTTACATTTCTTAAAAAGTTTTTTCTGTGTCAACCAGGTGTGGCAGTACGTGACACTGATGAAGAGGATTTACCTAGTTGATTGTCCAGGTGTGGTGTATCCTTCTGCAGATTCCAAAGCCGAGTTTGTCCTCAAAGGAATTGTAAGTAAACCTTGTAAATCTTGTGAGTAAATGCAAATATCAATACAGTAGCCATGAATTTGATTTTCCTGTTATAAAGTCTGTTTCAGTTATTGCTATCAAAATTTTGTTTTGAATTAATTATGTACACATTGTATTCATCTCACCATTATCGTGGTGAAGAGGTCAGTGATTATGAGAAATAGTTGCTGTACTTTGTTTGATTTATAAAGCATCACTAGCTTGGGAAATGAGCCTGGAGAGTTATATGTACATTAAAGTCATATTTCTTGGAAATAAAGAATCATTTCATATAATTTTGCTTGTTTAACAATTTTCTAATTTGTAAATTCTCGAGTTGGTCCAATATGTGTGACAAATTTCGTTGGGTCTGTTACTGCCAGTGTGTAATAAAGAAATGAACAGGACCTCAAAATGATTTCCATCGGTTTCGTTATACCCTAATTCTTAATCAGTTTTGTACTCTAATTCTACTTCAGTTCTATACTGCTACCATTTGTCAATTTCATACCCCAATTTTACATCAGTTTTATGCTGTTACTGTGTTAGTTTTATACCTGAATTCTATGTTAGAGAGGGGTAGTAGAGCCAACACCGGGTGCGGTTCGGTGGGAGGTTAGTAGGATCCTTCCCCTCTTCGTCTGGATACCCGAAAGTATGCAGGGTGATTGAAGGAATATTGAGAAACAAATTTGTAGAAGTCCTGAAGAAGCCCCAATATGGGGCGAAACTGGTTGACAAGTAAATTTACGAACTAAGCCTCTTCGCCTGTTGTGATTGACTTCTACGCTTTTGAATTCTATGTTGTGTTATAACAAACTGCAAAGTTTTATGGCCTAATTCAGTTTTATACCTCAACTTTAACTAGAGTCAGTTTTATACCCTTACTCTGCATTAATTATATCCCATGTTCTACATTAGTGTTATAGCCTAACTCTTCATTAATTATATTCGATGTTCTACATTAGTTTTATAGCCTAACTCTGCATTAATTATATCCCATGTTCTACATTAGTTTTATAGCCTTAAATTTAACTTTGAGTCAGTTTTATACTCTAACTCTGCATTAATTATATCCCATGTTCTACATTAGTTTTATAGCCTGACTCTGCATTAATTATATACCATGTTCTACATTAGTTTTATAGCCTAACTCAGCATTAATTATATACCATGTTCTAGATTAGTTTTATAGCCTAACTCAGCATTAATTATATCCCATGTTCTACATTAGTTTTATACCCTAACTCTTCATTAATTATATACCATGTTCTACATTAGTTTTATAGCGTAACTAAGTTAACTTATACATCAGCTTTACAGTCTAGCTTGACATCAGTTTTGTACCCTGACTGTATGTTGGTGTTATACCCTATCTCAACCTCAACCTCAAAGTTATATGGCCTAACTGCCTAACTCAAGGTCAGCTTCATACCCCGACTCTACACTACTTTTTTCACAACTCAGTTTTATACGTTGTCGTAACTTTGAATCAGTTTTATGCCCTAATTGTTTTATACACTTACACTTTATCATTTCAACACCCTTTTAAAACTTTGTTTCAGACAGGTTTATATGTAATCTTTGTAGGTACGTGTAGAAATGGTGAAGACGCCAGAGGATTACATCCAAGAATTGTTGAAACGTGTGAAAAAGGATTACATCAAACAGACATACAAGGTGGAGGAATGGACTGACGCTGAGAACTTTCTCGAGCAACTTGCCAAAAAGTGTGGAAAATTGCTTAAGGTGATGATTGTTGCTACTAGTATTTATGTGTAGTTAAATCTAATGATATTGGAAGTCTTAATTACTTAAGACTGTAATATCATTTGTTTTCAAAATTACAGATCTTCAGGGAGTTGCTAATGATCCATAACTATACAAATACAATTGTCATTTCAGTACTTGTAAGTTTGCATGTATTTTTTCTTCATATTTCCTCAACTTTCCTCTCTTTGCTATGTTTGTGTCCCATCTCTTCAATATTCTCTTTTAAAAATTGCTGTGATTGAGTATATTGGCCATGTGACCATATAATTGTGGTGTTCATTGGAATATATTTCTGCTCATCGAATTTTGTGTAATATTCATTTAAAATGAATAGTATCAAATATTGCGCATTAAAATTTTGTGATCAGACTTGCAGATTGGATATTCAATTTTCACAAATATGTTTCCAATATCAGATTTCATTTACACTATTACAGATTCAACAGTCAGATACCAGTATGAAACTGAGATTTGATAATACTTTATGCTTATAAACACAAATACTCAGCCATCCAATGACAAATATCAATCACATAGCATTTTGTCCCTTCCAAACAAGTGAGATTGTTAATAAACACTTGGTTAATTAAGACAGCTGAGTGGGCTACTTTATGTCAGGGTTGAAATTTACATTTCTTTTTTTAATGGATTATATTTTTGCAATTTCCTCAATGCTACTTGAGATAGCAAAAATATCATTCCTATGAAAGTAACTGGCTATGCAGAAGTTCATTTCGCTTCATAGGATTAGAATCATAGCATATCCTGATATTTTGATAAATACTCATTTACATTATGTGTAATGTTTGGGTCAACTAGGGTGGAGAACCAGACTTCAGCACAATGGCAAAGATGGTCCTTAACGACTGGCAGAGAGGCAAAATCCCCTACTTTGTTCGGCCTCCTGGCAGTGAAGAGGTATGTTGGTAATAACTGGTGCATTGGTCACATTGCGTACATTTTTCCCTGAATTTTCTCCTTTTTCCTCATCATGTTTGAATTATCAACAACATTTCATTTTAAATTCATTGTTTCATTGCAAAGATTGTAATAAGCAATAAGCATAAACTAATTACGGTTGATAAGTATGAAAATAAATTAAATCTTTTTAAGGATGAGAGCAGCAATAGTAATAGAGAACAGAAGACTGAAAGCACTGTAGAAGAAGAGCAGATTAAGGATGACGCAAAGGTACAGGAAAAGCAAGGGGACACAACTCAGTTAGAGGACGTTGAAGCTACCGAGACCACTGTGGAAGCCAATGTAAAGAAAGGTGTAATACCAAAGGTACGACAGGACCTCAGTAAAATTAACGTAGCGCCTGTCTTCATGGCTGAGGACATTAAAACGCTGGAACTGGATACATTAGATGGAGATGATTCTGAAGTTTCTGAGTCAGAGGAGGAAGAAGATGAAGATGTAAACAATAAAGAGGAGAGCAACAGTAAGACAATGGACGGTGAAGACACTAAACACGAGAAAAAAAATCCTGCGAAACAAAGTAGTAAAGAAACGTGTGAGGAGGAGTTTGTGAATGGTGAGGAGTGTGAAGAACTAGACACAAGTTTGATTAATGCAGACTCTTCAGACAGTGCGACAGCTGAGAAAAAACACACAAAGAAAGTTAAATTTGATTCTGCTGCTCAAATTTGTGAGACAAACACCACGTCCAAAACACGGGGACAGAAGAGAAAACCAGAAGTGAAACAGAGCAGAAGTGGCAAGTTTCTTGTAACACAGATTGAGGAGGAGGAGGAAGAAAATTTGCCAAAGAAACAGAAACTAACCAGCAAACAGGTTTGTACATTTGTCCCCAAGAAACAAGATTGGTTAATAGATGTGATGTATATCCTTCCTGCTATAGACTCAAAATGACAGATTGTAGTAGACACCATATCTGTATATCTGTGTTTAGAAGGTGTATATGTAGTTTTGGTACAACATGATCTTTGGTCTATTTGCATGTTTTTTATGCCCCCGCCATTTATGGCCTGGGGGCATATAGCGTTGCCCATGTCCGTCCGTCCCATTCCGTCGCATCGCGTCCCGTCGCGTCCCGTCCCAAATCAGTATATACCACCTAACAACTTCATTCGGAAGGCAATTTTCATGAAACTTAATACAAATATCAAGTATGGAAAGACCTCATGCAGTGTTGAATTTCTCAGCATTCTAAAAAAAGATGGCCACCAGGGGGAGATAACTCAAAAAAGAGGAACATCATCTTATTTCTACATAATTTGGTACTTGTGGGTTTTAAGGCATAAGGAATTAATATACTCCCTCATTTTTTCCAGAGAACAAAATTCCAAATTCATGTAAGTTAAATCAACTTGTCAATTTAAGTATGAAACTTAAGTTGTACATAGTTGCATACAAATTAACAAAATCATCTCTTTCGGACCTTTCACTATTATTTCACATGGGGGGGGGGGGGGGGGGGGGGGGGGGGGGGCATTCATGTCTTACAGACATTTTCTAGTTTTATCAGTTTTTCTGATAAGTGCAAGAGTTGAGCAGTTGTTACATGTGTTGTAATATGTGCTTGTGATATCATTGATAAGGATCAAATTGAACCAAAACAATTTTTCACTTATCATATGCATATGTAACAATATATTGATATAAAAGAGTATAGCATGAATTCTGTTTGTGTTACAGAGACGGCGATTAGAGAGAGAATCCAAAACAAAGAAGATAGGTTCTCAGTTCTATACCCAGACTAATGTGAAAAACAAAAACCGCAAAAGATGATGTGAACAGGAATGGATATGTAATGATAAGAAATAAAAAGAGATTTAAAAAATATAAATTGTTAATTTTTTGTTTCCGATTATAAAGAACAAGTGGTTGACCCTGTCAAAGTTTCGGACAACAACACTAAAACCACAGGTTTTCAGCAAGTCAAATAATGTAGTGTCAAAAATAATAAAGACATGATTTCCTTCAATACACTTCCATGGAGCCCTACAAAGTTTGTTCAAATGAATGACTTTGACCCACTTTCAAGATCACAGGGTTCAAATATATTAAAATATACAAACGACTTCTTCTCAGTAACCAAAAGGCTCAGAGTGCTGATATTGGGCCTGTAGGATGCTGGAAGGAAGGATGACCGTTAAGGCCCATGGGCCTCTTGTTTATTTTGTTGTAGCTTGTCTCCGGTTACCACATGATATAAACAAAACAAAAAAACTGTTATGGCTGGTAGGGGATATATGAACGAAAGGATGAAACACGAAGAGACACACTTTTTGAATTAGTAACTTGCATCATACACTTGTTTCATCCTTTTAGAATTTGTCAGTGATGATTAGGTTGGAATTTTGAAACTTCGGGGCAAATGAGGAAAATCAAAATTTACCGGAACAAATGTCAAAACCTGATAATATCAGTACAGATACACGTACGAACCGCGCTACTGTTCTATTGCAACATGGCTGATTTGTCTGTTTCTTTGTAAAAGTTATCTCTATTGTTATAAATCAAAATTAGATATTTGAATACAAGCAAAGACTACTCGGGTTTACTCTACCATTTAAATTACGTTATCTTCCTCTCACGAAGAATACAAGATTAGATACCCTCCTAATGGTTCTCTCATGAATATCATGCCTTACTGGCGACGGTATTAGAAGCCAAGATATATCGAAGAGTGTAATTCTGCAATTGTATCTTTGATCTGAAAGGATTCGTCTGGTGTATTTTATTTCATTTTGAACTTTATCTGTTGTTGATGTGCACTCCATCCTGTCGACTGCACCATCTCCGGGTAAATACTATGATTATGACAACATGTATGGCAGTTATTTTCTTTTGTGATTTTATACGAATGTGTTTCATTATACAATTCCTAGCTTGTAACGCGACTTTTTTATGAGTTTATATCCTCTACAGAGGATGCTAAAATTGTTTGGTTTATAAAAAAATTGTTTGTATGACTTTTCGAAGTTGCCTTTCATCGCGATGACTGTTAAAGTACATTGTATTTCTGAGTGTTTATATAAGTATATCTACGTTTTTCTTTTGTGTTCTAATATCTATAATTTATCAAACTTGAAAATGAATACCTTGGAATATACACATATATTCAAATAAATAATACATTATGGTATTTCAATAGATGTTAACTTTAATAAGAGCGTAATCATTCAATTTTTGCTTATAAACTACTCTTACACACCCATCATTGAAATCTAACACGGAAATTCCACGGCAAGACATCGCATATTGTGGGTTCACACCTTTTTGTTAGTTATATTTTCCCCTAAAATGTATCTAGGATTGACCATTTTGCAGGGCTGTACCACGTAAACTATTGATCTGTGTGACCTCGCATCCGTACGATTTTCGCTGTTGTACTGTGATATGTATAATGCTTCTAAAAAGTGATTAAAATTCAGGCTCAAAATCGATGAAACTAGGGTAAAATATGAACGAAAGAAAGCTTTAACCACAGACTCTTAGGTCAGTCCAAGTAAGTAATGTTATGTTCCCTAAACGAGAACGAGGGAAGCAATCCCCGGCAAATTAACGTGCATCAAACACGCCCTACTTATATCGCACAAGGAAACAGAATATTTCCCAATGAGATCCTTATATAATAAGTTTGGATGCTTTCGACATCTTGCACGAAAATCGTGATGTTGGAAACATCAAATAACCTTCGGCATGCAAACATGAGTTGGGGATGCAGTGACCGCGTTCACTCAACATAAACTATTAGGGGAGTTTGTTTCCTTGGCAAATTTCCTGTACTGATTGTACTTTTTTATTTGTTAAACATTTCCCTGGATATGATAAAAAAAAATCTATCAGTCCATCGTCGGATGTCAGTGTTTTACTATTGTCTATCTAGTGAAAAGCATTCATCTAACATTTAATAAACCACGCCCCCTTTGCATATTGAGCATTATACACAAACATCCTTTTTCGGTTGGTGAAAACCAAGCTTAAATTCTCAGTGGCAAAGGTATTATCATACAGCCAAAATTTTTGAGACTTCCTTTTCTTCAGTTTACATTTGTCTACATAAAGCTGGTACATTTTATTTATAGAGACACAAAATAGAGACACAACGTATCTTTCAGAATATATGAAAAAAAACAAATGGGTCTTAACTACCAGTAAGGACCTTTTAACTCTATGGCGTCGATATATGTGGCATTGGAATGCGTGTTCAAGATGCTTCTGCAGAATTTCATGTGCAGCATCAATACGAAATTTCAGAAGAGCAGTGGAATTGCTGAAGTTGTCTTCCTGGAGGACTCTATCATCGTTGTTTCCTGCCAGACCTTGCCTACCACATAACACAACATTCTGGATGTGCTTGCCAAGACCTAGGTTCACTTCTATCTGCCTAATGACTTTGCAGTTTAACTGACTCTTGATGTCAGTTTAAATCTTCTTCATTGAAGACATGAAATCACCAGCCCTTGCTAACGCAGCTTCATGGTACTTGAGCTTGTTGTGATGGACAATCTCCGACAGTGGTTTGTGTGTAGACCATAGATTTAGATTTAGTCCATATCCTTATAACTATACTCCATTCAAATAATTATACTATGCATTTGTAGGAATGACAATAACTGTCCTCGGAATAAGTACATATGGTCTTTAAATGTTCAAACTATACGCGGAATAAGTACATATGGTCTTTAAATGTTCAAACTGTACTCGGATTAAGTACGGAATAAGTACATATGGTCATATGGTCTTTAAATGTTCACGCGGAATAAGTACATATGGTCTTTAAATGTGTACTCGGATTAAGTACATATGGTCTTTAAATGATTAAGTACATATGGTCTTTAAATGTTCAAACTGTACTCGGATTAAGTACATATGGTCTTTAAATGTTCAAACTGTACTCGGATTAAGTACATATGGTCTTTAAATGTTCAAACTGTACTCGGATTAAGTACATATGGTCTTTAAATGTTCAAAATGCCAATGAACTGAGAAAGTGTGCAGGCATAATATATGTATTATCACCTTAAGGCACATGAATGACAGAAATGCTTAACCTGTTTCTGACCTGTAATGGATAAGAAGTTACAGGATAAACATTTTTTAGATTAGTCGACAATTCTGTTTCATGAACATAACATCAATATTCAATACAACACCTCTATGAGAAATGTGTTCAGCAACTGCTGTTTGAATGAAATGGTAAACGCTGTTCGAATATCGTTATGTGAACTTTGTTTTTATTGAAATAATATCATAAATCTTATTTGCTCGGGCTTAGATTTTTATTACCCGGTAAGTACTTTAAGTACTTTAACACCCCGATAAGCCTACAAGACCACAAATTCTGCGATAGTTGTGGGTAATGATTTAGGCGTAGTTTCTTTTGTTCAGTATTACAATCTCTGCGAGTGTTTTAGGCGTATCTGATTTCTTGATATCCTCTCACGAATCAAGGTCGCGGGATGGTGGGGGTGGTGCTATTATGGTTGTATTGCTGTGGAATTTCCATCACATTTTCACACACTCATAAAAGACAATAATGTATCGGAAGAATCCGAGTTTCAAGATAAATGGGTGTTCAGGTCAAGGTCATTGTTACTATTTTTGGGGACCTGTTGTTAGCACGAATCTTGCAATCTCATTTCTTGAGGGAGTTCGATCAAACATCACAAACTCACCAAAAGGCTAACTATTTCTGGCAAGTTTCCGTTTCAAGGTTGGAGCATCAAGGTCACGGTTATTATTAAATTAAGACAGCAAATGTCTTCATTCCTTGTGAAATTTCAAACTTCACACATTTGTATAAAGGATCCTACATTTTAAGTTTCATGGTTCAAGGATTAAGTTCACTTAGTATCTTAGTGCCTTCACTCCCTCGAGTGTTATTTTTCATCAAACTTTATAGACATCTATCAGACAATGATATCTCGAAAGCTTTTGAGTTTCAGGGTTGTAAGGTCAAGGCCGTGATCACCATTACAGTGTAGAAAATTCTTGTCAGCTGTCTAGCATGTTCATTACCTGATCAAAAAGCATGTACTTTACTGTCTCTAATGAATATTAGAAAATCCTTCACATCGCTCTAGCAGTTTCAATCATAAAAATATTTTGATCAAATTACTAAGAAATATCGAGGAAATTGCACGAAATTCCAGTTTGTGGGTTCAGATCGCCTTAACGGTTTTTTAGAAACTTCAGCGTTCTTCAGAGGGATATGGATCATTAGCGATTACGTGGTAAGTATAACAATACATAACAAAGCGATTTAGGAATATATGGTCTCTTGTTTAGTATCATAACACCAGGAACTGTCTAGAAGGGCCTAAATTATTTTGAAGTATATAGGTTAACGGTAAAGTATTCCGGTAGATTTGATAAATTCTTGGAATTTGCTGTAGGCAATACAACGAACATTGACAAGACAAGGTATCAGACAAGGTATTTAATGATATAGTCTCTTATGATCTTGCGTTCCCATGAATTATTATGAAATTAATTAAGAAAATTAAACTACATCAGAAAAAGAAGCAATAAGATTGCCTTCCGTTCTAGACGTGGTGAAATATGGAGTACACCATCTTTTAACCTTTACCTTTTTACTTTATAGCTATTTTCCTAATCCTCTAGAGTTTCGTTTTTTGTAAAGCAAAGGAGCGGATATATCGCCGATTTTACTATCACTCTAGATTATCTCAACATCACTTTTGAGTCCTATTTGGTATAATCAAATGTGTATGGTGCCATCTTAAGAATTTTTCATTTTAGCGAGCCTTTGGCGATCTGAAATGAAAATCTCTTGAGTTTCATAAGTCAAATATCTCAAATGGAATGATCATTTTCAACACATGCTCGTTTTTGCAAAAAAAAAAAAAAAAAACAGAAAAACCCGGACATTTCTATATCACACATGAAGTCGTGTTCTCTCTATATCTATGGTATCATTGTTACATCAAAAGCAAATTTTGAATTGTGACATGATTTCATAATCTTAAGAGACGTTATGATAAGCTATATTACACATGTAAAATTATTGAATCAGAAGGCAGTAATGTATATACATACGGTGGAATTAATACCCTGTCTGATCTGGACAGGACCGTATGAAAACTTGGCAAAGCCTTCCCCTTATAAGGTAATAATATAAAGACTCGTGAGATGTTTACATGATATGTTTATTTACAATCTGGTAAAGAACACAAAACACATTTGTATTTATATACAGTCATTAAATATTGCATAGTTGACTTTCTAGTATTGTAATTATGGATCTAAAATGTCCCTTAGAAATATATAAAAATAGATTCAATGATAAGAATGTATCATGCATAGGTCATGTATCTACACATTTAATTTTCAGATGAAGTCAAACTTCTAGACATTGTCGTATGTAACAAGTGATTTTTGCGAAAATTTGCCGAGAATCGTTTGGAAAATTTTTAATCAGTATGTAACAAAATCTAAATCAAGCTAACTGAAAATTACAAACAGTAATTCCATTTTTGTATGGTAGAGCATAAATCACCACGCAATACAATATCAAATGAAAGACAAGCTAGCACCCAGATGTAGCCATCGCGTATAACAGCAGTAGATGGAATATGTACCAGGGCATGGTATACAACGTAGAAAACATGCAAGGCTATAATATGTAAATCATACAATGACACGGATTTCATGTACATGGATACAAACAAATAATACATACAGGGATATAGAAAGCACATGGTCAGTTTCTTAAATAAAAGCTGTATCTCTGGCAAAGGTGAAGGAAGAGAAATTGGCGGACCTGTGGTGAGCCACACTTGTGCTTATCTCCCGTGACTGAACATGAATTCGATTCATCCTACAGTATTTATTGAATCTTCGTTTACCTCACGTTGAAGTTAACATAAATCTCGCCTGTTGACATAAGCCAAATAAACTGTTCCGAGTAAAAATACACACATAGTCCCAAACTTCATCGGATGAAAAAGTAATCTTACAAACATTTTTACATAAACTTGTTAATTACAACAAATTTAATATCTTAATTACAGTTACTCATATTTGAAAAATATTGAAGTGAATTATAATGTAATTCTGTCCAATAAATGCACGTGCTAGGATACAGCTGTTTTCCGTCAGTACAATAGAGCAAAAAATATATGTTGACAGGTTGAAGGATAAATGTAAAAAATGTCAGATTGGTGTACATACAAAGACATGGAACACATATCAGGACATAGAATATTTTACCCGCAAAGCCATGGAATGTTATTTATAGGGGACCTTACATAAGTTACCATTTTTCATTCTACGGAACCTCGGATATTTTAAATAGGATTCCTCTCGTTTTAAATTGGCTACAGTTGCCGTTTCTAATGCACTCTGACAGAAAATATTTTTTCACTGCCAATATCAAACTCTTATTTTGGATGAGTGAAAATATCACTTATATCTACACAGTAAGATACTGAGAACACTGAGAAAAATGTAATAAAGATATGTTGATCATATAAAGGAGATGCTTTTGTAAACATTCGTGTGGAGAATATTATGTAAGCCTGATACGAAATTTGAGTTGATAACTTTCTGAATCTATACATGTTTCTTTAGTGACGTCACAATGCATGACACCATAAATCAGGACGTCGCAATGAAAACAATGTGAAAAATTAGCCAATCACTGCTCCGCTAGGTCATAGTTCATGCTTGTTATTATACTGAAAGCAGAAGGAAAATTTCCGTGATAAAAGGAGATTTTGAATAAACAATATACATGGACATGGAATGTTAAACATAACATGACATAACATGACATGAAATGTACATGAAATGTCACACATACACGGATATGAATGACATGGAATGTCATACATACACGAATATAAATGACATGGAATGTCATACGTACACGGATATGAAATGACATGGAATGTCATATTCACACGAGTATAAAATGACATAGAATGTCATAAACACACGGATATTAATTGAAGATATGGAACGTTAAACATACAAAGACATAAAAGCATGTAATCAATAACGAAACCCTTCGTGGACTTCTCAAGGTCCATGTACCACTCTGATATCATTGCAGTTAAAAACACGGGCGTCAATTCAATGTAAGGTCTCTACAGTGCCATAGTTAACATTAATAATATCTTGCATCTTGTAATGCATTGCATTGAAAACGGCAAGATTATTTGTAATCACACTATAAACAACAATTCGTGGGTTGGGATATTTTAGTAACAGTAACTCCGTACTGATAAGACGCCGTTAATCTGAACATAATTACAATATGCCGGAAGTTAATTCTCCAGGGAACATCATGTTCATGGCCATCATAAGAACGCTACAAACTCGTGAAACTTTTAAATTCAAGCTCACGCGTTTTGTCAATGGAGTTCTCAGTTTTGAAATTGAAATATTGCAGTTTGTAATGTAATCCTCCAGTATTCTGATATGAAAAATCAATGCTTAAGCTAGTGTCACAGGAACATAGCTATCAAACCTTCATGTCCACGAGGTGTCCGTGCATCACAGAACTACCATGCTGACGATTATCTTATGAAGTGGAGTCTTCGGGTGGGGGTGATGATGGGGGTGTTGGTGGGGTATCTGCTTCGGGTGGTGGAGAGGGCGGAGCTGGGGGGTCCGCGTCCTGTTGTACTGGCGGAGGGCTCACTAATTCCGCTGGAGCGACCGGGAAACTAGCATCTTCTGAATCCTGTTGTAAGTCTCCTGTCTCTTGCTCGGCTTCTACATCAGTAAGTTTTGGGCCCGCAGGTCCCACGTATACTCCCCCAGGACCACCCTCCTTCTCGGTCGGTGGTAAGTATTTGCTAGCAGTCTTCATCTCTCGAGATTCTCTCAGAGATTCCTCTGGGTCATCCCGCTCCGCCGAATTTTCTCTCCCTTCTGGCTCCTTTCTTTCACTCTCAGACACGGGCTTCGTCTCGTCCGACATTAGGGGTTTAGATTCGTCCGTTTTGTCGGATGCCTCCATTGAAGTTTCTGACACGACTTGTACTTCGTGTTGTCCGTTACCTGTAAAATACGATCGATAATAATTGCTGTAAAGCCCTATTAACTGTAGAGAAATTCTAACTATTCTAACTGTTTGAAAAAACTTTGACCGAGTGATGCCAGCTAGATTAGTTAAACGTTTCTTCATAACATGTCGATTTGACTGACTTTAAATCTCAATTAAAACTTGAATGTAAACTTGACAAAACAGAAGTTCCATTCTCAATCACATAACTTATCGTGATTAACATGTAAATTCTATTGATAATCAATCTATATTCCAGTATGAGCGTTTGACCACTGTTTATACCAGTGGGTATTTTGGACATCACACATGCTGTAAAGACCTGTCAACTTCTAAAGTGTATTGTACATCAAAGAGATTGATCAGATACTACTGTCATGTTGCGTATATTTTTTTCAAAAACGAGTTGTATTCTGAGATAGATTTATTTTCATTAATTCTCTAAATACCACCAGGCACTAACCACATAACATCTTTTTATTACGAGTGTGCGTTTATCTTGTTTGTTAAAGCACAAACCAGTAATTGCCCTTCGGTTGTAAGCATATCGCTGTCAAACTTATCAATGTGTGTTCTCTTTGATGTATTTAAGTTAGATCAGACAAAATGTTTTACTTTCAGACTATATATTGTCTTATTTACTTGTAGTAACACCCAATTTGATCTATCGACAATATCCTAAACGTTAAAAAAGGAATCAGATTCCAACCGTTTACTTGTATTATCCCCTGTCTAAATATCCAGTCATTACTAATTCAATCAAATGCTGGTCCTCATTCAAGCGAATTGTCTTTGTGTAGATTGTTACAGGTTTACTTCTGGTATACCAATAACAACGATATGAGCAGGGGCTTACACAGACATGCCCCAGCTCCCTGATTTTTTTAAAAACTTTTTAATTGAACCATTTGACGGGTACATGGTCTATCATGTTGCTAACTTCGCACTCCCGTACATACAATGTGATTACTACACAACTTCCCTAACTGAATCGGGTGTAACAAAACGAGGTATGGTTTTACGATGAAAAGGATAGAGCGAGCTTGACCTTATTCCCTATTTACTAATTCTAACAACACAGATAAGCAGTCAGATTATCTTGCACCAATGATGACTTCTTTCTGGTATCACAGAATCAACAAACCTGTCCCCATGGGAACCATAGGGGTATCCGGATTCTCGTTCGAATTGCCGCTCTCCATGTTGGCCGCATTAAGTGGAAGTTCATCCCCTTTCTTCTCGTCCAAGTCATATACTCCGGCCTGTGACCGCCGCCTGCATAAGAAAACACTAGGTACTGAAAACATTCAAGACAACAATGAGCCAATCACAACCGCGGGAGTATATAGAACTCGTTATATGGTTACCTGATTACATTATATATGTATGTATACATGTACAAGTCAGTACACATTTTTAAACAGTACCAACAAGTAGAGACTACGTTCGTTCAGTATGTGTACTTAAAATGGATGCGACAGGATTTTGCCGAACAGTTCAATGATACACTTACCAGAGTAGGTATGCGATGATGACAGCAGCAATGATGAGGATGACGAGGATGATGACAGCAGCAATGACTCCTTTGTTGGTGTTCTCGGAAGAATTTGAAGGTGAACCTTAAAGAAACCAATAGAAACTATTCTGAGAAAAATGGCTCTGAAACTCGTATTCGATTTTAGTCTTGTATCATTGATTTCTTGAAAGTTAAGCATGGGCCTGTGTGAAGGTAAACTGAATTGGGGTATACTACTCTCAACTCTGACCCGTGTCCTTACACTTATTCAACAGAGACATACATCGAATGGATGTTTACAAATGTAGGTTTCATGTTATCGTTTTGATATTCTTTCAAATTTTTTTTTCACACATCACTATGATCAAATTACGATTTCGTTTTGTCAAATTTTGAAAGGCGATTACATGTTGAAATGACTTGTGCCCTATCCATTTGTAATATTTGACAATAAAATGTGTTTAAACTGAAAGTATGATTTCATTGCAAATTTGATAGCGTTTTATTGTCATTTCAATAAGATAAAGATAAAGAAAGGGTTGTCGGGTGGCCGGGTGGCGCAGTGTTAACGCACTCGCCTTTCACCTAGCCGACCGGGGTTCGATTCCCGGAACTGGACGTAAAAAGGTAAGGGGTCACCTGCCCGACCACGTGGGTTTTCCCCGGGTACTCCGGTTTCCTCCCACAATGAGACCCCTCGCGCGCTTACATCCGGGCCAACAAGAGTGATTATTATAACTTGTTTCGCAATTGTTGTAAAATAAATAAAGTTTATATTAAAGATTATTTAGTGGTCAGTTCGGTTAAATATCTTTTTATTGTCACTATGGTAGTGTTTACCAAGCAGATATCTTTTTTAATGATCAAAGTGGTCAATATATCAGACAATACAAACTTAGTGACCATTTTGCTAGAAAAGGATATCACCTACAAAACTGCTCTAAATGTTCTAATATCTATCAACCCGCATATACACTTTGCATGCAGATGTATGTACCACGCCTTAGTACGCGTGACGGTAAAACTAATTCTCTAACTCAATCCCTGTATGTTACATTATGTAATGGGTCTCCGTTGTGTATACCCACCCGTAGTCGTGGTTGTGGTAGTAGTGCACGCTTCACATTTCGTCGTACATGTCGTCCGCGTACAATCTGAAAGTAGACACACGTAATAACTAAGAGACAACTTTCTATGAAGAGTGAAAAAAACATGTAAGAAATCCGAAAGAAATTTGAAATTTTGATGTTATTCGTTTTCAGATATGGGGTAAAAATTCTATAAAACAAAAGGTCTTTATTTCATTACCAAACGGATTTCCACGGAGTCAAACTGCCTTTGAATGATTATTAACAGATTTGAAAATAAGATTAAAACTAGATCATTTAATTACATTGATATTACATTTACTATAATCAAATGTCCGTAATTTTAACCAAGTTTGAATTTTATCCATGGAAAATTCAACAAATTATGAAAACTATAGTTAACTTTACTCTCTCCCCAAGGGGTAATGTGGGACACAAGGGCAACGAGATTCACAGATCACTTAAGCACCTAATATCATTCCATCCGAGCAGGGTCTTTGATTCTATTAGCTCTATGTCTTGACAGGATTACTAAAATCTTTGACTTGACCTCTTTTGGCCTTGCCAATCATGTCACTTAGCGTCAGTATGTGAATACAATCAAACGTTCGTCTTACATCAATAATTCAAATCAAATTTGAATTATTTCACCAAAATTAAGATAACACGTGCTAAAAATGAAGTTTTCTTACACGAAGTGACAGTAAACTTTAACCCTTCCATAGGGTCAAGTATGAGACCCTGGGTTCATGAAAATTTCCAAAATCAGTTAAACACCAGCTGTGTAAAGTAATGGTGTTGATCGGATCTGGATCTTGTAAAATAGATGTTCGAAATTCCAGTCAATATGTTGACTTCTTTTGGCCATCCTTCAGGCCCCTTTGGGAGCATATAGCTCCAATTTGGTTTACATTTGCACGTAGAAAATTTCCGCAAAAAAATCTTGAAATTGGTTCAGTTTTTCTTTAGAGAAATCGAAAATGTCAGTTGCTGACGAACGGACGACTCATGATGGATGATGCACGCTGGAAGGCAAATGTCGGTAGCAATATGTCACCTTAGACTTTGTCTAAAGTACACACAAGATATATAATTGATGGCAGGATTGGTATCAGTTTTTCATTGCAGATCTACTTGATAATGAAATAAGAATATCATGTTATCATATCATTTCGGATACATCCCCATATGTTATACTATTACAGTAATTACCTTGGTCACACGTGTTTCCCCATTTGTCAGTAGGACACACCCCTAAACAGTAGCCAGTTACCCGATCACACTTCTTATTAAGGCAGTTGGATGAACAAGACATGTTGCAGTTTATCCCGTAATCTCCGGACGCGCAGTCTGTAAATCGAGCACACCGTACAAAATGATATCAGTTAATTATCGGAAAGTAAACGCTGTGGTTGGAAGAACTGAATGAAAAACAGGTAAATCTAGTAATTATTATCAAACATGTACAAACATATTTATTATAATACGCAACTAGTAGAACGTTACAAGAACAATAAAATCTAACTTCTTTATAAGACTCCGGTATGTCTGTGGGATAGGGAAATCCCATTAGAGTGTCACAAACCGATATAACCCGAGACTCCGTTTAAGGGTTTAACATGTGATATTGATACTTAAGATGGGGTTTCCCTATCCTAAATACACACAAGATTTCATTTTCAAACATAATATAATGATATACTTTATAGTGCAATATAAAAACCAAACCTAGCATCTTTCTATACAACTCAAGACAACGCCATTTTTAGGAATGTTAACTTTTTTTCTGGCGCATTAAAAAGAAAGTGAATAAATGAATAACAGCAAACTCTCCACGTAAATATCTACCAAAATAACGGCAAACTCTCCACGTAAATATCTACCAAAATAACGGCAAACTCTCCACGTAAATATCTACCACAATAACGGCAAACTCTCCACGTAAATATCTACCAAAATAACGGCAAACTCTCCACGTAAATATCTACCAAAATAACGGCAAACTCTCCACGTAAATATCTACCAAAATAACGGCAAACTCTCCACGTAAATATATACCAAAATAATGGCAAACTCTCCACGTAAATATCTACCAAAGATTTTGCGCCGAAAAAGAAATATCACAAGTAAGTATCAACATCAAACGTCATTAATTGTGCCACATTGTGTCAAGCGACGTGTTAAATTAATGGACGAGCCGAATCCGCACGACTTATATTTTTTTATTTGATATTCCTTTTAAAATAAAATCATCATTATTTAAACACATTTCATAGATTTCAAATCCTTCAGGAGTGTTTTCTTTAAGTAGTATATGCAGCTTCGGAACTATATTTCGTATCAATTCACTTACGCAAGTTATTAGCCTGGAAGTCATTACACATCCGTTTCATTAAAGAAACTGGCTATTTTACATACAGTCTGTACAGACTGACCTTTGTGCTTATTGTCAGTAGACACTGACCACTGCACTTACTGTCTGTGTAGTCTGACCATTGCGCCTACAGTCGGTACAGATTGACCACTTAACTGATTTTTGATACAAAGTGACCACTATACTTACTGTCGGTGCAATATCTTCCGGTAAGACCTGCGTTCTTACAGCCCTGTGCACAGATTCCGTTCACGTTGTTACAATCATCATTGGCACATTCTGAACATGTCATGTTGCAGTCAGCTCCATACTTCCCAGTCGAACACGCTAAAATATATCATGAACATGGTCTATCTATAAGAATGCATATGGATTTTACGTATCACAGAAATCACCCCTCGTTATATAGTAAGTGGAAGGGATATGGGGTTTCGGAACGGCGTGTGGTTATGGCTTGCACGCCAAAAGCATCTATCATTTGGATGTATTGGCAGGGAAAAAATGGTAATTTTCAGGTACACAAACATGATAATCGATTTCTATGTGGAGAAAGACACTTACACTTATGATATCAAATATCTTATATATTGGGATAGATTGAGATTCAATATATCGGAAATACAAAAAAAAATATTCAAATATTTACATTTATTGTCGCGATACTTAACACCGTGTAATTAGAGGGGAAAGATCAAAAGGCTGTTAACAGAAGACAAGACAAAAAGGGTTTATACAGAAAATCACACAAAGCTTCCAGGATATTAGGAATAGGACACCACATACTCTCAAGTTTTGAGATAAGACATAACACATTTGTGATTTTGGAGAAAAGAAATGCGATCTACGAGATAAGACAAATAGCATTCGTACTTTGGGAGATGAAACACAATATATTTTTAAGTTTGGAGATAAGACACGAAACAACATCGTAATTTAGGAGATAAAACATGAAACATGGGAGCTGTGGGATAAGACATCAACTATTGTTAATTTTTTTAGATAAGACACAGAGTATTCATAATTTGTTAGATACGATGGAAAACATTCGTGATTTTGTGTGTGTATATATATATATATAAACAGACAGTTTTGATCTGAGTAAAGAAGATTTAAGATATTTATTGTTTTGTGAAAATATGGGATATAATACATAAAAATATTGATTTCCTACCTAATGTCATGAAACATTTTTATTTCGCTCTCTTATCAACAACCATGTATATACTGAGACTGATAAAGAGGATTACAAGAGAAGTTTCCTAATTTCAACGAGAAAAGAATAATTGGAAATTAGTTGAAAATTATTTTATCATAGTTGTCGTGTTCTTCGGAGTTTCCTACCTTGGTCACAGTTGTTACCGGTATACCCCGCGTTACATCCCCCGATACACTGGGTGGCGTTACACGTCCCAGCACAGTTCGGGCTGCAATGGACATCGCAAGTGTTTCCGACATAGCCATCGATACAGTCCACACAACTTCCGCTCTCAAAATTACAAACTGACTGACAGCCGACGTTGCAGGTGTTGTTACAGGTCCCATTTATATACCGAAAACCCTCTTTGCAGGCTGTACAGTATAAACATTGTTAACTATAGCACTAACACAAACTCAACGTACAAGCAAAACATATATATACATTAATTTAACATTTAAGAATGGTTGTGTAGACAACACTTGAGATAATGATAACATTCTCACAGTATTATCTACTGCGCTTTTTATGACATGTACATATGTCATAACATCATATTGTATGACGTCAAATGTGACTTATGATATTCTGAAGATTGTTACATGATATCACGTGATCAGGTGAAGTTTATAGTATATATAACTTACTTGTGATACTCCTGAAGTCTGTTGCTGGTTTATCAGCGGTTCGGTTTAGGGAGTACATCCACACCACCGCTCCTATCATTTTAGCGGCAGTCTGCACGTCCGTCACACACGAACTTGCCATGCTACAGTCAGACGGCTTCTGGATGTCATAGTAGGCTCTTTGTGTGAAATAACAAACTGATGATTAATAAAGGGAACATGCAAAGAGATTCGGAATTCTGCGGTGGTATGAATTAAGGAATTCTTTAAAGATTTTCAGTTCTATGTTTTGTAGATATTGTTTTAAACAGCGGTCGGTTTTGAATATTTGTATACAACTGGAGGAAAAAGCAATTAATTAAGAAATGAATTTTATCATATTGATTTGTTTTATAACAATATAAGAGGAACAAATGGACAATTCAGTTCATATAATTTTTTCAGTTTGTATTTGTAATTTGGGTTGTAACCCAACAGTGCTACATTCACATGAGGACATTCCTCCTCGATACTCCAGGGGTTACGATCACTTTCGTTCTCGGCACACCTGGAGAATTTCATGGCAAACTTGAAGACTAGTTTGATCCTTTGATGTCCAACAAACTGATAACAAGATTGCATAATGATTTGTTGTAAAAGCTTTGAAGTTGAGTGTCGCCTCTTTGTAATCTCCAAAGGAGCGCATCAGTCTGTGACAGGTCAATTTTTTCTTCTGAAACCTACCTAGACCAGTCAAATGAATTCAATTGTGATTTGAGTTTTGCCAGGAAATGTTCCAATGGTGAAGAGAGCGAAAGTGAGCGTAACCATTAGATAACGAGGATGATGAACTTAACAGTAGTCATTATGATAATGATTATTGTTAAGTTTATCATTATCACAATAACAAGTAATTTCTATAAATGTATAAATGTTGATATGTGAACATGAATTGCGTTTACACAATCTGTGCCACAAACATCGATCTGACATCAGATTATATATTTTTACCGATATGAATGCAATCTGCATTACTGATAATTAAAATGGCGTCTGTTTTTAGCCTATGATCATTAACTTACAATTCACATAGGATAAGAATTGACAATAAATAAAAATTCACAATTATCCACGAGTGAACATCTCTGAGGTTATTTCAAAATGTTTGTTATATACTGGACAAAATAAGTTAAGGATCATAAATTGTGACCATAATATCTTTAAAAATTCAAATCATGTATTGCCGGTAATTGCACTCGTAGTTTCTCCAATATGTACCTAAAGTCATGTCAAAGGTGAAAGCACGTGCATCTGAAGGTCTTGCCGTTCCGCTCTAGTTAACTATGGTGGTGTGAAAAACTGACTGGTCTATTACTACAGAGGAATCTTGCAGGTTTTGATTCTGTTACTTCTAAGCTAAAAAAAGTTGAATTTGGAAACATTTAATCAATTTGTAACGAAAACTTGAAAAACTAATCATGCGAAGACATTTAAATGATATGGAAGCCGCGCGAGCTATAGGGCTCCTTCAAGCTGGTCAAACTCAACGAAATGTGGCGGCACAGCTTCATGTTTCTCAGAGCGTGATTAGTAGGCTATGGAATCGCTATCAACAGACAAATAACGTCCGTCAACGCCCCAGATCTGGACGACCACGCTGTACGACAGCCCGACAGGACAGATTCATTTGCATCACGGCACGACGTCAGCGGTTTTTGAGTGCTCCTGTCTTGAATCTTCAGTTTCAGCGTGCTACAAATCTAAGGATTTCATCCCAGACAATGAGAAACAGACTCCATGCCTCTAATTTACGAGCTAGAAGACCAGCAGTCCGACCAATTTTATCCAGAGGTCATCGACAATCCAGACATCAATGGGCCACTCATCATTTGAATTGGCAATTACGTCATTGGAGAAATGTTATGTTCACAGATGAGTCTAGGTTTTGTGTTGACTTCCATGACGGTAGGAGGAGGGTATGGAGAACCCAAGGAGAGCGCTATGCAGACTGCTGTGTTGTCCAGCATGATCGCTTTGGTGGTGGGTCAGTGATGGTTTGGGCAGGGATCAGTGTTGACTTCCATACAGACCTCTACATCATAGACAATGGATCTTTAACAGCTGTTCGATACAGGGACGAGATTCTACACCCTATAGTAAGGCCCATTGCAGGAGTTGTTAGCCATGATTTTATTCTGATGGATGATAATGCTCGTCCTCACCGTGCTCGTGTGGTCAACGACTATCTTCAACGTGAAGCAATCGTTCGCATGGACCGGCCAAGTCGTTCTCCTGATCTGAACCCTATCGAGCATGCTTGGGACACCTTGCAACGCCGGGTTTCAGCTCGACCTAATCCGCCACAGAACCGCCAACAGCTTATGATTGCTCTGCAAGAGGAATGGCAGCGCATCCCACAGATCAGCCACCGACGACTAATAAGGAGCATGTGCAGACGTTGCAGGGCAGTTATTGATGTCAACGGAGGTCATACTGCCTATTAAACTGCCAATTGCAGTTTGATGAGTTTTCCTTGTCTACATGATTAACTTGCTCTACTTCCTCTTACACTTTGATTTCAAGGGTGCTGTTACTCAGGGTTATCTGCTCTTGGTAGCAATTACCACAAATGAATTTGTTTTGTGTAATTAAAGACTAAAATGAATGTTCTGTCATTAAAATTTAAAATATAATCATATTATTATTTGTATGTAAAACTGCACTGTTTCAAGTTTATGATCCTTAACTTATTTTGTTCAGTATATGTCAAGATATATTGTTATATTTCCTTAATTTTAAAGCGTTCATGTAAAAGAGACTAAAATGAAATTTGGAATGCACTGAAAGGAATTTTATTATTTCAATTTCCTAATCTAAACTTATTTTCTTGTATTAAATGGTCTAAACACCCGATTCACTCTACCTAGTTAGATCTACTGTAAAGTGTTGCTAAACTTCGTTACCGTGGTTTGACCTTGTAAGATATCAGATGTTAATAGACATCGTCACCATGGTTTTGTACTGTTCTATCGAAGGTGTAACTAGACTTCCTGACTTTATTCGTGATTTTGATATCGGCCATTCTAAATTTTGGGTCGAATAATTATAATACTTTGAAGTATCATACTCATTTCATTTTGAAATGCTGTGGCCATAGAACAGCTCATCTTCCGCCTGTTGTTGTGTTTTGAGAGAGAACGTTGCTTGGAATATTGATATTTGTTTAGAAATGCCGAACAATTGGAGTCTACAGAAAATTAGTATAGGACTGTACTTTTATCTGCTTATGAACGTTTATCACAAGCAAGAAATGTTAAAAATCCAAAAGCGATGACCCATTTGACAATGACGTGGAAACGTGTATATCATCCAGTATTTTAAGTTACGTTTCCTTACCTGATGTTTGAATCAGATGAGTTAGCTACTCTGTAGACCAAGTTGTCAGTGCCATTGGTTTGTCGGATGAATACTCTTGTCCTCAATTTGCGTGAAATTAAATATGCCACATAACGCGCCTCTGCGAGTATGCCAAAGGACGCGTTTGTGGGGGAGAAGGTCGCGATCAGTGTTTCACTGTTCGTGGTGGTGGTGTCTGCACAGGCATGACCGTCATAAGCACATTCCAGATTGTTACAACGGGCATCACACACACTGTTTCCAAGACTGCCCAGACAATAGGAGGAGTTAAAACAATCGGACAACATTGTTCCGTTATTTACACAGTCAAAACCATCGTACAGACAGCCAAGGGTATTACAGTCCTGATCACAAACACCGTCCATGAACAATACAGAACAGTGCCTTCCTCTAGAAGTCGGTACCACGGTGCAGGAATCCCAGGGGTTAACACCGACAGAGCAATCGAGTCCGTCATAGCCACACTCCTCATAGATACAACTGGTCTGAAAAGTAAAACGATACCTTTAACAATATATATATTGTTCGAGCTTGTTATTTCGATGATCTGGTTATCGTCCTGAATTTGGTACAGGTTAAGCCGCACTTTTATATACCTTTCTTAAAGGTCAAGTTAAAGTTGTGTGATGACTAATTTCGTGCAATTTGAACATTTGAGAAATGATGTATTATTAAAACAACAAAAAGAGGGATTGCACAATTCGAAGTGTTTAACTTTGATTCCCATCTACTCATATTTCGCATACTGACCAAGTTTAAATGAGGTAAATATTCGTAGAAAGTGCATCAACAGCTTTAATTGTTAGTGTTTTTCCTATGGGGTTAGGCACATATTTGTCTTCATAAAAAGCGAAGGCTAAGACAATATACTAGACGAGTAACACAACTAGTACTGTCCCTCGCTAAGATTTCTAACCAAGTCTGAATCAATAGAAATTTAAAAGAATTTTCCTTTAAAAAAATTAAACTTTGAAATTTCAAAACTTGTAACCCTAAGATTTTCCTTAAAGGGTTGCAGAGGAAACAACAAAGTGTTTCTGTAATTCAGTAAAAATATTAAGAATTTTTTTTACTTTTAAATTAACTTTTAAAATTTGTCCTTTCAAAACATTATCACCAAAACAAAAGTTTAATACTGCATTTAACCTTTTCTTCGCAACTGAGAGACAACGGGATTCCCCCGGATAATGGTGCAGTTTGGAATATTCATTCGCTGTTCCACTGAAAAAATCATCTTAAAATAATAAAACTCGTTCTCCTGTCTCTGGTCATATGTAATGCATCACTGTATGTCAGAACTTAACGAAGTCTACGTTCTACTTACATCGCACACTCCGTTACCACTCAGGTTGGCACAACCCCTTGCTACACAGTTGGCCTCTTCGCAGTAGGTACCAGTATAGAGAGCTGGACAGCTACAGTTGAACGATGCTGCAATAATTTGATAAAACTTTAACACTAAAAACATATTTACTGCTTGCTTTCGGAACATACACGTTCTCCCTAGGAGTTCGCTTGGAATTGTTTGATAAACTGTATAACTTTCCCCTCACTAGTATTTGAAGGATTTGAATGTCAAAATTCACAATTATAGAATATATGTTAAATTTTCTTTCTTTGGATAAAGACTTCACTACAGACTTATGAAAATCTATAATTGCAAATTATGATGACATACCTATACCGTCTACACATGTTCCCCCGTTCTCGCACGTGACCCCGACACAGTCATCGATATTGGTATTACAGTCTGTTCCGTTGTAACCCGCCTTACAGGAGCACACACTTGGGTCAACATTAACGTCGTTTAAGTTACAGACTCCATTTGGCGAACAGTTGAACAACTGAGTATTTAGACAATTACGTCTGTTACAGTATGTTCCTGGAAACCACGAAGTATAATTAAAAGCTTCAGTAAGAACCAGAACGAATTGAAAAGGATACATGTGATGCATGAATACGTGTATTCAACATATACTCCGTTTACAGATACTAAACTACAAGAAAAATAGTGCACGTGTTATAGTTATATTACTCTCTATTTTCATTAAGTTTTATGTTTATGTTACAATAGTAGGCGTCTCAATGCTAATTTTATAAAAGTAGGCGCCTTAATGTTTATTACAATAGTTGACGCTACTGTAAACGAGCGGCAATAGAGGTCTGGTTTGTCTGCAGTTGCGCCCGCTGAATAATTAACAGTTTCCATAAAAATAGTTATAAGAAAACGTTATCACACTATTCACATGACACCTGATTTTGCGATGTCCTGGCAAACATCACCTTTCTCAACATATGGTCAATAACATACCTGTATAATCAGTTCGGCAGTGACACATGATTGAACCCCCTGACTTCTGGGTACAGTTTTGTGTTACGATATTGTTACAGGGTGTTCCACTACAATTTATGATTTCAGTTTTGTTGATCTCACATCGTGATCCACTGTACCCCTCGGTACAAGTGCATATTGACATCCCGTCCACATTTGTAGAGCATGTTCCGTTGTTTTGGCAAAACCTGCGGGTAGAAAAAAAACCCCGAAAAATCAACATTAGTACCATATCAGCGGGGAAAAGGGGCTTAAAACGTAAAGGGGAGCAGTGCCATTTGTTGAAAGATGTATGTTATTAGGGATAGTTTAGGGAAAACACCGCAGATTTTTATGGTGAATGGAAATCATGGATAGCGGTACATGTAATAAAACCATCAACTGATCTACGAAGCACACAGAAACTGCAGTTAGCCTGATCCTATCTGAGCGTATTGTCTTCAGCACGAAAAACGCTAGAATAAGGTAAACGTTAGACATGTATGTTTGCAGTACTTTCCCTTTATTAAACCTCTCACAGAATTTATACAGTTAGATTTTGAGCTGAGTGATCCTTCGTTGTTTCATCTAGGGTGATTTTAACACCCAGTTCTTCACTTTAAAACATTTCATACCTGAACAATGTGTTGTAAAGTCTGGCAACCACTCTAAGAAAGAGGGAACAAACACAAGCATATATATATAAAGGGGTTACAAATCCTTTTAAAATTAATATTCCTATCAAGCATGTAATTATCCCCCTCCTTATTACAAGGAAAATCGCTAAAGTGGTAATTCATTAACTTTTAAGTTTCTATGTGTCAGAACGGTTATCAATATTCGCTTTTACCTTAGAAACTCAAACGTTGACCAGAAATCCTGATTACCTTGGATCACCTTTGGAGCCATGGTCACCTTGGAAACCCTTGCTACCTTAGGAACCCTGATCACATTGAGAACCCTGATCACCTTGGGAACCCTGATCACTTCGGAATCCCTGATCACCTTGGGAACCCTGATCACTTTGGAATCCCTGATCACCTTGGGAACCCTGGTCACCTTGGTAACCCTGATCACCTTGGGAACCCTGGTCACCTTGGGAACCCTGATCACTTTGGGAACCCTGATAACCTTGGGAACCCTGATCACCTTGGGAACCCTGATCACTTTGGAATCCCTGATCACCTTTGGAACCCTGATCACTTTGGAATCCCTGATCACCTTGGGAACCCTGGTCACCTTGGGAACCCTGATCCCCTTGGGAACCCTGGTCACCTTGGGCGCCCTGGTCACCTTGGGAACCCTGATCACCTTGGGAACCCTGATCACCTGGGGAACCCTGATCACCTTGGGAACCCTGATCACCTTGGGAACCTTGATCACCTTGGGAACACTGGTCACCTTGGGAACCCTGATCACATTGGGAACCCTGGTCACCTTGGGATCCCTGATCACCTTGGGCGCCCTGGTATCCTTGAGAACCCTGATCACCTTGGGAACCCTGGTCACCTTGGGAACCCTGATCACCTTGGGAACCCTGTTCACCTTGGGAACCCTGATCACCTTCGGATCCCTGATCACCTTGGGAACCCTGATCACCTTGGGATCCCTGGTCACCTTCGGATCCCTGGTCACCTTGGGATCCCTGATCACTTTGGGATCCTTGATCACCTTGGGAACCCTGATCACCTTGAGAACCCTGATCACTTTGGGATCCCTGATCACCTTCGGATCCCTGGTCACTTTGGGATCCCTGATCACTTTGGGATCCCTGATCACCTTGGGAACCCTGATCACCTTGAAAACCCTGATCACTTTGGGATCCCTGATCACCTTCGGATCCCTGGTCACCTTGGGATCCCTGATCACTTTGGGATCCCTGATCACCTTGGGAACCCTGATCACCTTGAGAACCCTGATCACTTTGGGAACCCTGATCACTTTTGGAACCCTGTTCACCATGGGGACATTAGTCCGCTGGGCTTGTTCCGTCGCTTATGAGCCTATGACATACTATTTCGCTTTATGTGTAATGTGCAGATCGTTTTGGTAGTACTGCCATAATTGTGTACTTTAGTTAGAATATGTGTAATGGAATAATTAGAAAATCTATATAATAAGATTCATTTTTATGTTTATTACCGTAGCCACTATACAACAACTGATCTGATCAGATCTTGACTTAATCAGATGATCTGACCACACGGGGACATTGTACAAGCTTTACTTGCCGAAATATAGGCTTTTCAAATTCCAATCCAAGCCATCTGGAGTGATCTCCCTTTACCATACATTGGGCAAATGTCTAATTTGATAAAGAGTTCAGTTCGATCTAAACCAATATTACCAGCTTATACTAGAAGTCTCTTGAAACTGACACATAGACATCATTCCTTTTATGTATGTTGCAAGATAGTGTAAGGATGCAATTAATCATACGGGTACTCTCAGTTCTGAAAAAGTCAGTCTTTGGGCCTGATTAAACTAAATCTTAAAATAAGCGTGGGTGGTAGGATGATTTGAAATTAAATCTACGCTCGATTGATTATGTGTCGGTGGAGATGATGTTGGTATTTACGTGTCGGTAGAGATGATGTTGATATTTACATGTCGGTAGAGATGTTGTTGATATTTACATGTCGGTGGAGATGATCTTGATATTTATCTGTCGGTTGAGATATTGTTGATATTTACGTGTCGGTAGAGATGATGTTGATATTTACGTGTCGGTGGAGTTGATGTTGATATTTACGTGTCGGTAGAGATGGTGTTGATATTTACGTGTCGGTGAAGATGATGTTGATATTTACATGTCGATGGAGTTGATGTTGATATTTACGTGTCGGTAGAGATGGTGTTGATATTTACGTGTCGGTAGAGATGATGTTGATATTTACGTGTCGGTGGAGATGATGTTGATATTTACGTGTCGGTAGAGATGTTGTTGATATTTACGTGTCGGTGGAGATGATGTTGATATTTACGTGTCGGTAGAGATGTTGTTGATATTTACGTGTCGGTGGAGATGATGTTGATATTTACGTGTCGGTAGAGATGATGTTGATATTTACGTGTTGGTAGAGATGATGTTGATATTTACGTGTCGGTGTAGATAATGTTGATATTTACATGTCGGTAGAGATGTTATTGATATTTACGTGGCGGTGGAGATGATGTTGATATTTACGTGTCGGATGATGTTGATATTTACGTGTCGGTAGAGATGATGTTGATATTTACGTGTCGGTGGAGATGATGTTGATATTTACGTGTCGGTAGAGATGATGTTGATATTTACGTGTCGGTAGAGATGGTGTTGATATTTACGTGTCGGTGAGATGATGTTGATATTTACGTGGCGGTAGAGATGATGTTGATATTTACATGTCGATGGAGTTGATGTTGATATTTACGTGTCGGTAGAGATGATGTTGATATTTACGTGTCGGTGGAGATGATGTTGATATTTACGTGTTGGTAGAGATGATGTTTGATATTTACGTGTTGGTAGAGATGATGTTGATATTTACGTGTCGGTAGAGATGATATTGATATTTACATGTTGGTGGAGATGCTGAAGACATATTACGTGTACATTATAACAATCAAATCTCGATAGATTTGTTGGCGATACTTACGTGTCTGTACAGTTGGTTGAACACATGGAATCTATGTAACCTCCAGGACAAAGACACATGGAACTGCTCTGATGTATAATACATCGTCCACCTGCGCACTGTGTCGTGTTACACGTCAGCTCACACGAGTCTCCAAAGTACTGGTCCGGACATGCGCAGTATGTCGTATTACCCGACCAGACACAATATCCTCCATTCATACAATATTTTGCTGTAAAATGAAGTAATTTATTGTGATGGAAATATTTGCTTTGCTGTGAAATATTTCTAAAAAATGGTTTTAAAAAACTGGGTAGCCAGTGTATGCCAGTGTTATGTATAATAGTATGGTAACTTGGAGCGGAAAACTTGTTAAGTATTACACCAACAAAAAAAGTATTAAAAATTGAAATTTGCTTTGGACAAGAAACACGAACAAAGGGCAACAACCAAGATAATCAGGTACATAGAGTGACTACATGTCAGAATGTGAAACAATAGATAAACAAAACATAATTAATAACAATAATTCTTAATACGTTATGGGATGGGAACATCACTTCAATACCGATACGTAAAATTAATACTGATACGTAACACTGATACTGATACGTAACACTAATACTGATACGTAACACTGATACTGATACGTAGCACTAATATTGATACGTAACACTGATATTGATGCGTAACACTATTACTGATAATGATACGTAACACTAATAATGATACGTAACACTGATATTGATGCGTAACACTATTACTGATACGTAACACTAATACTGATACGTAACACTGATACTGATACGTAACACTGACACTGATACGTAACACTAATACTGATACGTAACACTAATACTGATACGTAACACTAATACTGATACGTAACACTAATACTGATACGTAACACTAATACTGATACGTAACACTAATACTGATACGTAACACTAATACTGATACATAACACTGATACAGATACGTAACACTAATACTGATACGTAACACTAATACTGATACGTAACACTAATACTGACACATAATACTAATATTGATACGTAACACTTATACTGATACGTAACACCAATACTGATACGTAACACTGATACTGATACGTAACACTGACACTGATACGTAACACTAATACTGATACGTAACACTAATACTGATACGTAACACTGATACTGATACGTAACACTAATACTGATACGTAACACTCATACTGATACGTAACACTCATACTGGGCGGGTAAAATACAATTTTCAATAAAATCATGAAAACATCAATATCATGACGGCTTTCCTAGCGTCAGCATCTGGTCATCAGACAGAACACGGGGAAATCTGTTTTAGAATCGTAAGCTTTTCCGTTTTTGACTGTTCAGGCGAAATTGTATGTGATGATATAATCACCGTGAACACTGAAACATATCTGTAGACCTATCTTACCGCAATTATCATTTTCAAGAAGTCGTTTACATACACCAATTTGTATGAAATTTTTACCTGTAATTACTTGGTCTAATTCAAATTGCATGTTACAGCTATAGGTATAAATATCGTTAATTGAGAACACACACACACCCTACCCCAACACTAAATCATTACCATTTGTCAAATTGGACGGCTAATGTACATTTTTAACCATAGTGCTACTGAAATCGATTAGTAGTATTTCGACATGAAACAAAGAAACGAAAGACAATATAATCCTGGCAGAATATTTGGACAAATCAGCATTGTAATTTACTTCGTATTATTATACTGTTTTATTCTATCGTGTTATACAAGAGGGATGTATCCAGCGATTGTCCGTATATTCTTGATCCCTTAAAGGCCAAAAATATCAAGTTGTGTAGGACATAAAAGGAAATGTATAGTTGCACAAAGCAGAGTTACTTGAAGTTAAAAAATGTTTCGGACATATGAACGTAACGCAAACGTCTTACTTGAAGTTGATGACAAGTTGCATTTTCCCTTCATCACTTTCACCAATAAGTTAAACCAGATGTACCGAATACTGTCGGGCTAGCAGTTTACACAATTCTATAGGACATCTTAAAGCATATTTTACCGGTTTAACATATCTGTCATATGTTTTTTTGTTTATGAAATATCTAAGATTATAATTAAAACTTGATAACATCATTTATACAAAGAAAAAATATCATTTCCTTTCTTCAAACCTTTTCAAGGAACAACAAGTAAAAATAGGATTTGTATGACATGTATATATGACGGCTTCAACCAACTACTTTCCGGCTTCATACTCACTACATTGGCCTGTCGTTGTCATGACAGCCCTGGATACTGAAACAAAAACAAAGACTTGTATTTGTATATGTCAAGGGATATCTATTCTTTAATCAAGAGCAAAGGAGGTCCATATGTATTCAGCACATATCACATAACACTGCTTACTGTTTGTAATATCAGTTTAATCTATAGAGTATTGATGAGAAAACAGACGACCTTTATATTTACAAGTATTACAATTTATAAGGCCGTGTTATAACTACTGTTTTTAAACAAACCATAATTTTTAGCACTTAATATATACCATCGCTTCAAATTCCTTTGCTTCAGAAAAAGAAATCTCAGATTATTATTCAAAACCTTTGTTTGCGACAGTAATAAACAACAAAGATGTCTGCGACAGATATAAACAACAAAGATGTCTGCGACAGATATAACAAAGATGTCTGCGACAGAAATAAAAAACAAAGATGTCTGCGACAGATATAAACAACAAAGATGTCTGCGACAGTAATAAACAACAAAGATGTCTGCGACAGATATAACAAAGATGTCTGCGACAGATATAAACAACAAAGATGTCTGCGACAGAAATAAACTACAAAGATGTCTGCGACAGAAATAAACTACAAAGATGTCTGCGACAGAAATAAACAGAAAGATGTCTGCGACAGAAATAAACAACAAAGATGTCTGCGACAGAAATAAACAACAAAGATGTCTGCGACAGAAATAAAAAACAAAGATGTCTGCGACAGATATAAACAACAAAGATGTCTGCGACAGAAATAAACTACAAAGATGTCTGCGACAGATATAACAAAGATGTCTGCGACAGATATAACAAAGATGTCTGCGACAGATATAAACAACAAAGATGTCTGCGACAGAAATAAACTACAAAGATGTCTGCGACAGAAATAAACAATAAAGATGTCTGCGACAGAAATAAACAACAAAGATCTCTCCGACAGAAATAACAAAGATTTCTGCGACAGAATGCTCCTAACTTTGTGTATCGCTAGTTTAAAGAGGCGATCATACTTCCACTACCGTATCGCCTCACTTACTATTTTTTAGGCATTTATTTTCTTGTTGTCAAAAACATCTTGTGGTTCATAAAATGTGTTAATCTATTCAATTGAATTTTAATCTGAATTATATTTGATATATGATAGATTTTAGTTGATGTAATACTAAGTTCAAATCAAGATTTCGCCTTTTATTGTTCTACTGTTGACGGTGTTATCTATAATGGATTTCCGTCCTGCGTACGATGTTAACTCTGGGAGTTAATTAAAGCAGAGCCCTAATCAATATATTTATAATATATGTCAATCAAGGAAGTTGAAAGCCTGTAACACTACTACACACATTTTTTAGAGGAAATCCTGTGTATACATTTCATAAAATTAAAAGAGTTCGCGTAGTAAGCTCGTCCGGTTTGTATACTTATATAACTCATATCTACAACGACATGTAGTGTATAGAAGGAAGTAAATGCTATTCTGACTAATCTGTTTCGTTTATGCTTTGTTATAGATCGACGGTTGTGCAGGATCACGAGAGCACTTCCCGTTTGTCATAAACATAGTCTATTGAAAACGTGTTAAAAGTTTATGACAAAATATAGACATAAATTAATGTATGGGAAAATAAATACTATCAAAACTAGACGATACTGGAGCTGAATGGTTTTCTATCGTCAGCTTGCCTATTCGAAGTTCTCGAGACATAACCCCAACCTAAAATTTTTTTCAAGCATTACTGGATCGTCACTATGCAGAAGTTATCAATATAGCGAGTCCTAATTTTCATGTCTATAGGACCCAAAAGCCGTTAATTTATATCAGTAAATTTTAAGAGCAAGTCTTGCGTTAAAGTGTCATAGCAAGTTTCTTTTTCAAGCAGTTCTATATCATAAATATCATAGGGCTAGTGATTATCAAACAGTTAAAGCATTAATTACAGATTTTGTTTTATATCTCTCATACCGATGGGGCTCAAAAGAAGTTTGAGTCGTTAAGTTTTCGATGCAAATCATATGCTCAAGTTTCATAGCATATTTTTTCAAGCAGTACTAGATCATCAATATTTAGAGGCTTCCAATACGTTGTTGAAAATGATAAATCATACTGACAAGGCGAAGAGATAGAGACATATAAAACGAAAAACATGACAAACTTTGACAAAATCGAAAAGCGATTGATCAAAGGAAGTGATGAACGTAAATTTTAAAAACCGACAAACAACCCAGATGATATGGAAAATCAACTTTGCCGTGGAGAGACATTTCTGGGAAATACTAGTGTGGTCAACGTGTTATTGTGGGTGGGTCATTGGTATTGCACAGATTTCTGAATATCATTGTCAGTGATAAATAGACATTTTTTTAAAGTTCTCAGTTTGGTGATTTTCAGTAGGAAAATTACCATAAATACCGTGGTGTGGTAAGTACGAAAAATATCGGTGCAGTGAATACCAAACTGGCAAATGAGGTAAATATCAGTGTGCTTAGTTTGGTAAAATATTAGTGCAGTAAATACAAAACTGATAAATGAATTAGATATCAGTGTGCTTAGTTTGGTAAAATATCGGTTAGGAATATGAGTAAATAACAGTGTTGTATGTGTAGTAAAGATGAGTGCATTAGATGTCAGTCTTGTAAGTGTGGTAAATGTAAGAGCGCAAACAGTCGGTGTAGCAAGTACGGTAAAACCAGTTTGGCATATGGTAGTGTTGTAGGTTACGTAAATATCAATGTCAGTGTATTGAATGATGTAAAATCATTGTGGGAGATGTTAGTGTATTGAATGTGGTAAAATCACTGTGGGAGATGTCAGTATATTGAATGTGGTAAAATCAATGTGGGAGATGTTAGTGTATTGATTTTGGTAAAATCAATGTGGGCGATGTCAATGTATTGAATGTAGTAAAATCAATGTGGGAGATGTTAGTGTATTGAATGTGGTAAAATCACTGTGGGAGATGTCAGTATATTGAATGTGGTAAAATCAATGTGGGAGATGTTAGTGTATTGATTTTGGTAAAATCAATGTGGGCGATGTCAATGTATTGAATGTAGTAAAATCAATGTGGGAGATGTTAGTGTATTGAATGTGGTAAAATCACTATAGGAGATGTTAGTGTATTGAATGTGGTAAAATCAATGTGGGCGATGTCAGTGTATTAAGTTTGGTAAAATCAATGTGGGAGATGTCAGTATATTGAATGTGGTAAAATCAATGTGGGAAATGTAAGTGTATTAAATGTGGTAAAATCACTCCAGGAGATGTTAGTGTATTGAATGTGGTAAAATCACTACAGGAGATGTTAGTGTATTGAATGCGGTAAAATGAATGTGGGAGATGTCAGTATATTGAATGTGGTAAAATCAATGTGGGAGATGTCAGTATATTGAATGTGGTAAAATTACTACAGGAGATGTTAGTGTATTGTGTGTGGTAAAATCATTGTTTGAGATGTTAGTGTATCAAATTTGGTAAAATCACTACAGGAGATGTTAGTGTATTGAATGTGGTAAAATCACTACAGGAGATGTTAGTATATTGAATGTGGTAAAATGAATGTGGGAGATGTCAGTATATTGAATGTGGTAAAATAAAGTGGGCGATGTCAGTGTATTAAATTTGGTAAAATCAATGTGGGAGATGTTAGTGTATTGAATGTGGTAAAATCACTACAGGAGATGTTAGTGTATTGAATGTGGTAAAATCACTACAGGTGATCTTAGTGTATTGAATGTGGTAAAATCAATGTGGGAGATGTTAGTGTATAGAATGTGGTAAAATCACTATAGGAGATGTTAGTGTATTAAATGTGGTAAAATCACTATAGGAGATGTTAGTGTATTAAATGTGGTAAAATCATTGTAGGAGATGTTAGTGTATTAAATGAGGTAAAATCATTGTAGGAGATGTCAGTATATTGAATGTGGTAAAATCAATGTGGGAGATGTTAGTGCATTGAGTGTTGTAAAATCAATGTGGGAGATGTCAGTGTACTGGATGTGGTAAAATCAATGTGGGAGATGTCAGTGCACTAGATGTAGTAAAATCAATGTGGGAGATGTTAGTGTATTGATTGTGGTAAAATCAATGTGAGAGATGTTAGTGCATTGAGTGTGGTAAAATCACTATAGGAGATGTTAGTGTATTAAATGTGGTAAAATCGATGTGTGATATGTTAGTGTATTGATTGTGGTAAAATCAACGTGGGAGATGTTAGTGCATTGCGTGTGGTAAAATCGATGTGGGAGATGTTAGTGCATTGAGTGTGGTAAAATCAATGTGGGAGATGTCAGTGTACTGGATGTGGTAAAATCAATGTGGGAGATGTCAGTGCACTGGATGTAGTAAAATCAATGTGGGAGATGTTAGTGTATTGATTGTGGTAAAATCAATGTGAGAGATGTTAGTGCATTGAGTGTGGTAAAATCACTATAGGAGATGTTAGTGTATTAAATGTGGTAAAATCGATGTGTGATATGTTAGTGTATTGATTGTGGTAAAATCAATGTGGGAGATGTTAGTGCATTGCGTGTGGTAAAATCGATGTGGGAGATGTTAGTGCATTGAGTGTGGTAAAATCGATGTGGGATATGTTGTATGTAGGGTTATTGTCAGTGTAGAGGTGTCAATAAAGGTTATATGTAGATGTCCCTGTGGTATGTATAGAAGGTATCACTGTAGATGTCGGTGGAGTAAGTGTGATAAATACTGTAGATTCCAGTCTGGTATTAGTTGCATGTATCAGTGTTGTCAATGTGGTAGATATCATGAACTAATGGTAAGTTTCGTAATGCTCAGTGTGGTAGGTATTAGTGCAGTTGTACGCGTGGTAAATATCAGTGTGGTAGGTGTGGTAAATATCAGTGTGGTAGGAGTGGTAATTATCAGTGTGGTAGGTGTGGTAATTATCTGTGTAGTTGTAGTCATGGTAATTATCAGTGTGGAAGGTGTGGTAATTATCAGTGACGTAGTTATGGTAATTAACAGTGTAGCTGTAGCCGTGGTAATTATAAGTGTGGTAGGTGTGGTAATTATCAGTGTAGTTGTAGCCGTAGTAATTATCAGTGTGGTAGGTGTGGTAATTATCAGTGTAGTAGGTGTGGTAATTATCAGTGTAGTAGGTGTGGTAAATATCAGTGTGGTAGGTGTGGTAATTATCAGTGTGGTAGGTGTGGTAATTATCAGTGTGATAGGTGTGGTAATTATCAGTGTAGTTGTAGTCATGGTAATTATCAGTGTGGTAGGTGTGGTAATTATCTGTGTAGTTGTAGTCATGGTAATTATCAGTGTGGTAGGTGTGGTAATTATCAGTGACGTAGTTATGGTAATTATCAGTGTAGTAGATGTGGTAATTATCAGTGTGGTAGGTGTGGTAATTATCAGTGTGGTAGGTGTGGTAATTATCAGTGTAGTAGGTGTGGTAAATATCAGTGTGGTAAACGTAGTAATTATCAGTGTGGTAAGTGTGGTAATTATCAGTGAATTAGGTGTGGTAAATATCAGTGTAGTAGGTGTGGTAATTATCAGTGTGGTAGATGTGGTAATTATCAGTGTGGTAGATGTGGTAATTATCAGTGTGGTAGATGTGGAAATTGTCAGTGTAGTTGTAGCCGTGGTAATTATCAGTGTGGTAGGTGTGGTAAATATCAGTGTAGTAGGTGTGGTAATTATCAGTGTAGTAGATGTGGTAATTATCAGTGTGGTAGGTGTGGTAATTATGAGTGTGGTAGGTGTGGTAATTATCAGTGTAGTAGGTATGGTTCATATCAGTGTAGGTGTGGTAATTATCAGTGTGGTAGGTGTGGTAATTATGAGTGTGGTAGGTGTGGTAATTATCAGTGTAGTAGGTATGGTTCATATCAGTGTAGTAGGTGTGGTAAATATCAGTGTAGTAGGTGTGGTAATCATCAGTGTGGTAGGTGTGGTAATTTCAGTGTGGTAGGTGTGGTAATTATCAGTGTGGTAGGTGTGGTAATTATCAGTGTAGTTGTAGCAGTGGTAGTTATCTGTGTGGTAGGTGTGGTAATCATCAGTGTGGTAGGTGTGGTAATTTCAGTGTGGTAGGTGTGGTAGTTATCAGTATGGTAGGTGTGGTAATTATCAGTGTAGTTGATGTGGTAAATATCAGTGTGGTAGGTGTGGTAATTATCAGTGTGGTAGGTGTGGTAATTATAAGTGTAGTAGGTGTGATAAATATCAGTGCAGTAGATGTCAACATGGTAAGTGTGGTAAATACCTGTGTAGTAGATGCCAGTCTGGTAAGTGTGGTAAATATCAGTGCAGTAGATGTCAGCCTGGTAAGTGTGGTAAATACCAGTGTGCAGAAGATGCCAGTCTGGTACGTGTGGTAAATACCAGTGCAGTAGATGCAAATCTGGTAAGTGTGGTAAATATCAGTGCAGTAGATGCAAATCTGGTAAATGTGGTAAATATCAGTGCGGTAGATATCAGCCTGTTAGGTGCGGAAAATACCAGAAGTAGATGTCAGGCTGGTAAGTGTGGTAAATACCAGTGCGGTAGATGCCAGTCTGGTTAGTGGGATAAATATTAGTGCTGTAGATGCCAGTCTGATAAGTGTGGTAAATATCAGTGCAGTAGATGCCAGTCTGATAAGTGTGGTAAATATCAATGCGGTAGATGCCAGTCTGGTAAGTGTGGTAAATATCAGTGCTGTAGATGCCAGTCTGGTAAGTGTGGTAAATACCTGTGCAGTAGATGTCAGCCTGGTAAGTGTGGTAAATACCAGTGTGCAGTAGATGCCAGTCTGGTACGTGTGGTAAATACCAGTGCAGTAGATGCAAATCTGATAAGTGTGGTAAATATCAGTGCAGTAGATGCAAATCTGGTAAATGTGGTAAATATCAGTGCTGTAGATGCAACTCCGGTAAGTGTGGTAAATATCAGTGCGGTAGATATTAAGCTGGTATGTGTGGTAAATACCAGTGTGCAGTAGATGCCAGTCTGGTAAGTGTGGTAAATACCAGTGCAGTAGATGTTAGTCTGGTAAGTGCGGTAAATATCAATGCAGTAGATGCCAGTCTGGTAAGTGTCGTAAATATCAGTGCAGTAGATGACAGTCTGATAAGTGTGGTAAATATCAGTGCAGTAGATGCCAGTCTGGTAAGTGTGGTAAACATCAGTTCAGTAGATGTTAATCTTGTAAGTGTGGTAAAAATCAGTGCAGTAGATGTCAATCTGGTAAGTTTGGTAAATACCAGTGCAATAGATGTCAGGCTGGTAAGTGTGGTAGATACCAGTGCAGTAGATGACAGTCTGATAAATGTGGTAAATATCAATGCGGTAGATGCCAGTCTGGTAAGTGTGGTAAACATCAGTGCAGTAGATGTCAGTCTGGTAAGTGCGGTAAATATCAGTGCAGTAGATTTCAGCCTGGTAAGTGAGGTGAATAACAGTGCAGTAGATGTCAGCCTGGGACATGTGGTAAATATCATTTTGAAAGATAAGTATTTAATGTGGTAAGTGGTAAGGAAGTTTGTAATGTAGTAAGTATGTATTTAATAAGGTATGTTTGATTAATGTGCGGTACAGATAAAATTTTCCGGTAGATGTTTTATAATATATAATTCATAATGATGTGTATTCTCCTATTTCCCTGGGGACACTGATAAGGATATGAGTGATTTATTATTGTCAGTGCAATTGTTCAGTAATTTGTGTTCTAGGAATTTGAGTGTTGCTGTTACTCTGTTCACTGCAACACATCCAAAATTAACTTAATACACCGTTTAATCAACAAATAAACAGCTAATTCTGGTGAAATGGTAAGTTCCTATCAAATGACATTTACTGCACAAACAGAATAGTACACTGTTTCATTTAAATTTCGCCTAACATAGTGTTGTCTCGTAATAAAAACTGTGAAAGCAACGAAAAATATTACAATTTCATAAACTGACCAAAAGTAGACAAATAGTTTTCGTCAATTCTACAATTACGTGGAATGCATAGCATAAAATAAATTGAATAAAACTAGATTTCTTTGTTAACATGCAACACACATAAGACAGTACAACAACAGAAAAAGATTGTGCACTGTCTGCAGTGGCGGTATTGTAATACCAAGGAGATGCACATAGCGACCGGCACAGTGATCTCCATTGTGAAGGTGGGGCGGGGAGCAGTAACTCACAGGATGACGTAATCACGAGAGAGGGGGTGAAGCTGTTAACATTTGGATGTGTACTTACCGAATATACAGCAAAGAAGTATAAGCAGCGACCATATCCCTCTAGACGCCATATTGGACTGCATACAACTTACTAGTGAATATTCTCGGGATGCTTTTGTGTATAATATAAGATTCAGGATGGTAGGGAGGAAACGGGGCCTTGATCAACGACTCATCGGGAAATAAGGTTCCTGACCCGGATTGTAAGATGACGTCAGCGTATTGTCGCGTGTTGCTGATGAATGCTCTCATTTGCATTTTGACGAGACACGTGTTCCAGGCTGGATGCGGACGAGACATTATTAGGTACCGACAAAAACACACGGAACACAGAAGACAAGCATTTGTCACTAGTTATGTTGCGAGGTTCAAAGTGATCCTGCATTGAGCTTACGGTAGGACCTATATAGATGCATTGTCCGTTTCCTCTCTCTGTCATTTTACATAACAAAGACATACAGTTTTCTACGATTAAATCTGGTTAAATCTGATTGTGACCTAATCTCTAGACTAAAGATAAACAAAATTCCATGGTGATGACATTAAATATCAAGTTTGTACACAGATCCGTTACAAATATAGGGCAAGTATAGAATTTGGCCGATGCAATCTCTCGGCGTCTTTATTCATATGGTTTGATGTTTTTGAAATATGTTAATATTAAAGATTGATATTTCAATTCAACCTTAAATTGCTGTCAAACGAAATAAAAGGTCAATTTCAGTTTAAACTTTTTATTTTCATTTTCCGTTTTGATAAACTACATTATCCTCCGTCCAACAAACTTCTCTGCCAATCTTGCCTGATTAGCCTCAGTATGGTGATTTTGTTTACGTTTTTGGTACAACACATTGTAAATAGAAGTTACGAGTTTAATAGTTACTCTACAATGGTAATATAACTCGTATATGTTAACAGAAACATCCAAATTTTTCGTACAATCAATTAATATTGAATTGATATTAGAACTTTAAAATTGTTTTTTAACCCGGACAGTGTCAACTTGTCGTAAGAAAGTAAGCCACCAGACGTGAAACTAATACCAAATGATAATATTGAAAATAAAAAAGACTTTTGACAACCTCAATACTTTCCTTAACTAAATATTAAATTCGCAGAAGTCTACCATCTTTCCTGAATACAATGCTTTTTTTTCAATGTAGTATTTATTAGTTCCATTGGCTACAAAGGTGATTAAATAAGTTAAGATCTTTTTGTGAACTTTGACTTGAATAATCTCTATTGTAATGTCGTTGTAAAGACTTTTCTTTAAGACAAGAATTATCATTATCGTACAAAGATAATACAGACATCCCTCTCAAAAATGTAAAAACATACAAACTGCCTTATATATGATAATACTTAACAATCTATAAGTATGTAACAGACTACGGAGTATATGTCGCGAGTGAAGTAATATGTATAGAAAAGATATTCTGAATTGAAATCTTTAGCTTATGCTAATATCAGTCACAACCATCATATATAATCATATCAATGCTAGATGTCCTCACTGCATATTCAGTGACAATAATCTAGTCTCTATTCCAGTAACATATTTCAGTGTTAGACATGAGCACAGAAACATCATTACAAAAGATATTGACGATCAAATTATGCATATATCTAATGCTGATTTAGATATACTATAGTATATACATGCACGAACACCGCGGGTTATGTCTGCTTTCTATCCGGAAGTGAGTCCCTCTGAACGGATTTGTCTACATCCGGATCTTGGGTGTACAGCTGTATGGCGTCAGTGTCATGTCTGAGTACAGAGGTTGTCGTTTCTATGAACCCGCCATATCTACTTCCGACGGAACAAGATATATCTCGACATTACACGCTTTCGATGATATTTACTATAACTATATCTTATACACAACTATTCCTGTCACCTTGACCTGTCGTGTGCTTGTATTTCCTCAGTTTTATCTATTTGACCGTAACCCGTTTTGTAATCCAAAGAATGCCTTCTATTTATGCCAGTGGCTCACTTTATGATTGAATCTATCACAGATTCAGTTCAGTGTGACAATGACCCGATGTGTGGCGGTATATTCCCCAGAATCAGTTCAGTGTGACAGTGACCCGATGTGTGTTTGTATATTACCCAGAATCAGTTCAGTGTGACAGTGACCCGATGTGTGATTGTATATCCCCCAGAATCAGTTCAGTGTGACAGTTACCCGATGTGTGATTGTATATTTCCTAGAAACATTTCAGTGTGACAATGACCCGATGTGTGTTTGTATATTCCCCAGAATCAGTTCAGTGTGACAGTGACCCGATGTGTGAATGTATATCACCCAGAATCAGTTCAGTGTGACAGTTACCCGATGTGTGATTGTATATTTCCTAGAAACATTTCAGTGTGACAATGACCCAATGTGTGTTTGTATATTCCCCAGAATCAGTTCAGTGTGACAGTGACCCGATGTGTGAATGTATATCACCCAGAATCAGTTCAGTGTGACAGTGACCCGATGTGTGATTGTATATTACCCCAGAATCAGTTCAGTGTGACAGTGACCCGATGTGTGATTGTATATTCCCCAGAATCAGTTCAGTGTGACAGTGACCCGATGTGTGAATGTATATCACCCAGAATCAGTTCAGTGTGACAGTGACCCGATGTGTGATTGTATATTCCGCAGAATCAGTTCAGTGTGACAGTGACCCGATGTGTGGCGGTATATTCCCCAGAATCAGTTCAGTGTGACAGTGACCCGATGTGTGATTGTATATTCCGCAGAATCAGTTCAGTGTGACAGTGACCCGATGTGTGGCGGTATATTCCCCAGAATCAGTTCAGTGTGACAGTGACCCGATGTGTGAATGTATATCACCCAGAATCAGTTCAGTGTGACAGTGACCCGATGTGTGATTGTATATTACCCCAGAATCAGTTCAGTGTGACAGTGACCCGATGTGTGATTGTATATTCCGCAGAATCAGTTCAGTGTGACAGTGACCCGATGTGTGATTGTATATTACCCCAGAATCAGTTCAGTGTGACAGTGACCCGATGTGTGATTGTATATTACCCCAGAATCAGTTCAGTGTGACAGTGACCGATGTGTGGTTGTATATTCAACAGAATCAGTTCAGTGTGACAGTGAAATGTGTATTGTATATTAAACAATGAATCTTGGAATTGTTTTGTATATTACCCCAGAATCAGTTCAGTGTGACAGTGACCGATGTGTGGTTGTATATTCAACAGAATCAGTTCAGTGTGACCGTGACCCGATTTGTGATTGTATCTTTCCCTGATATGACAGGTGTTTTGATTCTCGATGCCGTTGAAATTATTGTTGTAAACAATAATCTTGGAATTTTTTCGGATTGTACGAGTGTTGGACGAAGATAATTACCTGTCTATAGTGAGACCTGTATCATTACCTGTCTATAGTGATACCTGTATCATTACCTAACTATAGATTTACCTGTATCATTACCTGTCTATAGTGATGCCTGTATCATTACCTGTCTATAGTGATGCCTTTATCATTACCTGTCTATAGTGATACATGTATCATTACCTGTCTATAGTGAGACCTGTATCATTACCTGTCTATAATGACACCTGTATCATTACCTGTCTATAGAGTTACCTGTATCATTATCTGTCTATAGTGATAACTTTATCATTACCTGTCTATAGCGATACCTGTATCATTACCTGTCTATAGTGAGACCTGTATCATTACCTGTCTATAGTGAGACCTGTATCATTACCTGTCTATAGAGATACCTGTATCGTTACCTGTCTATAGTGATACCTGTATCATTACCTGTCTATAGTGATACCTGTATCATTACCTGTCTATAGAGTTACCTGTATCATTACCTGTCTACAGTGATACCTGTATCATTACCTGTCTATAGAGTTACCTGTATCATTACCTGTCTATAGAGATACCTGTATCGTTACCTGTCTATAGTGAGACCTGTATCATTACCTGTCTATAGAGATACCTGTATCATTACCTGTCTATAGAGTTACCTGTATCATTACCTGTCTATAGTGATACCTGTATCATGACCTGTCTATAGTGAGACCTGTATCATTACCTGTCTATAGTGAGACCTGTATCATTACCTGTCTATAGTGACACCCGTATCATTACCTGTCTATAGAGATACCTGTATCGTTACCTGTCTATAGTGAGACCTGTATCATTACCTGTCTATAGTGATACCTGTATCATTACCTGTCTATAGAGTTACCTGTATCATTACCTGTCTATAGCGATACCTGTATCATTATCTGTTCTTCATATTACAATGTGATGGATCGACCATAATTGTTTACGTGCTACAATACCCATTGTATTTTATTGTTTTCATTTAATATGAAAACAGAAGAAAAACCAAATGCTGCCGGCATTCCTGATTCCCTGTGATATAAATGTGTAGTATGATAATCTGTAACAATAGATAAGCATGGTTATCTTTCCTTATTTTATCTGTATTCCTTTATTACTTGTTCTTATTCCATTTGAACTATGATAAAGAGTATGATAATGTGCCATGTTAAAAAATAAGATGTTTATGCCCTGTGACATGAAAATATGGTAGAAAAAAAAGAAAAAAAAAGAGAAACCTTTTGTAATATTAAATTTATGTATGATAGTCTGTCTATCCCCTGTAGTACAATAATTAAGATTAATCTTCTATACCCTGTAGTACAATAATTAAGATTAATCTGTCTATCCCCTGTAGTACAATAATTAAGATAATCTGTCTATCCCCTGTAGTACAATAATTAAGATAATCTGTCTATCCCCTGTAGTACAATAATTAAGATAATCTGTCTATCCCCTGTAGTACAATAATTAAGATTAATCTGTCTATCCCCTGTAGTACAATAATTAAGATAATCTGTCTATCCCCTGTAGTACAATAATTAAGATAATCTGTCTATCCCCTGTAGTACAATAATTAAGATAATCTGTCTATCCCCTGTAGTACAATAATTAAGATAATCTGTCTATCCCCTGTAGTACAATAATTAAGATTAATCTGTTTATCCTCCGTAGTACAATAATTAAGATAATATATATGTCCTGTGTAGTACAATAATTAAGATAATCTGTCTATCCCCTGTAGTACAATAATTAAGATTAATTTCTTTATCCTCTGTAGTACGATAAATAAAGAGAAGGTAATTATTCCCTATGATATAATGATAAAGTGTCTATATTACTTTGATACAACGTTAACGTCTCCTGTGATATGCTAAATAATTAAGTTTATATTTATTTATCCTGTGATAATCTGTCTATCCCCAGTGATATAATTGTAAAGATTATCTATCTCTTGTGATATGTGTGATTTGACAATTCATCAAGATAATCTGTTGATCACTTGTGATGGTAATGAAATCGTTCTGTTTCATGTCAAATTATGGGTAGATATAGCGATATGTCTCGCAGGTATTGTGAAATCACTGCATAGTTATTGATCCACGGAGACTTGTTGCTTGTCAGTGTGATTTAACCTACCTGTGCCTTACAAAGCATTTGCTCATGTATCTATAATTTAAGAACAGATAAAGAAATTAGTCAATATGTTTGAGTGTAAGATAACGGTTACCCACTTCGTCTTCCTGGTCTATTTAAACAACCCATTCCGACTGGGTATTAGTGGTATTTTGGGGGACAATGTGACAAATGATATCTTAAAAGAAGAACATGAGTGAATTCATCAAATCCCAAAATGTTGGATTCTGTATTGTCTTTCTTATGGCATCCTTTGGAACTCATTTCATAGATGCATCAAGTAAGTAGAATTGCACTTGTCTTCCTTACAGCATCAGTTGCTTTCAAATTACATGTATCACCGCCAATCTCTATTCATTTCACTCTCCTTCCCAGTAATAACATACCATTCTCCCCTCAACTGTAATAACATACCATTCTCCCCTCAACTGTAGTAACATACCATCTCCCCTCAATTGTAGTAACATACCATTCTCCCCTCAACTATAGTAATATACCATTCTCCCCTCAACTGTAGTAACATACCATTCTCCCCTCAATTGTAGTAACATACCATTCTCCCCTCCTCAGTAATAACATACCATTCTCCCCTCAACTGTAGTAACATACCATTCTCCCCCCAACTGTAGCAACATACCATTCTTCCGTCCTCAGCAATAACATACCATTTTCCCCTCAACTGTAATGACATACCATTTTTCCCTCCCCAGAAATAACATACCATTCTCCTCTCCTCAGTAATAACATACCAGACTTCCCTCAACTGTAGTAACATACCATTCTCCCCTCCTCAGTAATAACATACCATTCTCCCCTCCCCAGTTATAACATACCATTCTCCCCTCAAGTGTATAACATACCATTCTCCCCTCCCAGTAATAACATACCATTTCCCCTCCTCAGTAATAACATACCATTCTCCCCTCACCACTGTACATAACATACCATTCTCCCCTCCCCAGTAATAACATACCATTCTCCCCTCCTTAGTAATAACATACCATTCTCCCCTCCTCAGTAATAACATACCATTCTCCCCTCCTCAGTAATAACATACCATTCTCCCCTCAACTGTAGTAACATAACATTCTCCCCTCAACTGTAGTAACATACCATTCTCCCCTCCTCAGTAATAACATACCATTATCCCCTCCTCAGTAATAACATACCATTCTCCCCTCCAAAGTAATAACATACCATTCTCCCCTCCTCAGTAATAACATACCATATACCCACCTCAGTAATAACATACCATTCTCCCCTCAGCTGTAGTAACATACCATTCTCCCCTCCTTAGTAATAACATACCATTCTCCCCTCAACTATAGTAACATACCATTCTCCCCTCAACTGTAGTAACATACCATTCTCCCCTCAACTGTAGTAACATACCATTCTCCCCTCCTCAGTAATAACATACCATTCTCCCCTCAACTGTAGTAACATACCATTCTCCCCTCAACTGTAGTAACATACCATTCTCCCCTCCTCAGTAATAACATACCATTCTCCCCTCAACTGTAATAACATACCATTCTCCCCTCAACTGTAGTAACATACCATTCTCCCCTCCTCAGTAATAACATACCATTCTCCCCTCCCCAGTAATAACATACCATTCTCCCCTCAACTGTAGTAACATACCATTCTCCCCTCAACTGTAGTAACATACCATTCTCCCCTCAACTGTAGCAACATACCATTCTCCCATCAACTGTAGTAACATACCATTCTTCCCTCCTCAGCAATAACATACCATTCTCCCCTCAACTGTAGTAACATACCATTTTCCCCTCCTCAGTAATAACATACCATTCTCTCAGTAATAACATACCAGACTTCCCTCAACTGTAGTAACATACCATTCTCCCCTCCTCAGTAATAACATACCATTCTCCCCTCCCCAGTTATAACATACTATTCTCCCCTCCCCAGTTATAAGATACTATTCTCCCCTCCTCAGTAATAACATACCATTCTCCCCTCAACTGTAGTAACATACAATTTTCCCATCAACTGTAGTAACATACCATTCTTCCCTCCTCAGCAATAACATACCATTCTCCCCTCAACTGTAGTAACATGCCATTCTTCCCTCCCCAGTAATAACATACCATTCTCCTCTCCTCAGTAATAACATACCAGACTTCCCTCAACTGTAGTAACATACCATTCTCCCCTCCTCAGTAATAACATACCATTCTCCCCTCCCCAGTTATAACATACTATTCTCCCCTCCTTAGTAATAACATACCATTCTCCCTTCCCTAGTAATAACATGCCAGACTTCCCTCAGCTGTAGTAACATACCATTCTCCCCTCCTCAGTAATAACATACCATTCTCCCCTCCCCAGTTATAGGATACTATTCTCCCCTCCCCAGTTATAAGATACTATTCTCCCCTCCTCAGTAATAACATACCATTCTCCCCTCAACTGTAGTAACATACCATTCTCCCCTCAACTGTAGTAACATACCATTCTCCCCTCCTCAGTAATAACATACCATTCTCCCCTCCTCAGTAATAGCATACCATTCTTCCCTCCTCAGTAATAACATACCATTCTCCCCTCAACTGCAGTAACATACCATTCTTCCCTCCCCAGTAATAACATACCATTCTCCCCAGTAATAACATACCATTCTCCCCTCCTCAGTAATAACATACCATTCTCCCCTCAACTGTAGTAACATACCATTCTCCCCTCAACTGTAGTAACATACCATTCTTCTCTCCTCAGTAATAACATACCATTCTCCCCTCAACTGTAATAACATACCATTCTCCCCTCCCCAGTAATAACATACCATTCTCCCCTCCTCAGTAATAACATACCATTCTCCCCTCCTCAGTAATAACATACCATTCTCCCCTCAACTGTAGTAACATACCATTCTCCCCTCAACAGTAATAACATACCATTCTCCCCTCCTCAGTAATAACATACCATTCTCCCCTCAACTGTAGTAACATACCATTATCCCCTCCTCAGTAATAACATACCATTCTCCCCTCCTCAGTAATAACATACCATTCTCCCCTCTGTAGTAATAACATACCATTCTCCCCCCTCAGTAATAACATACCATTCTCCCCTCCTCAGTAATAGCATACCATTCTCCCCTCCTCAGTAATAACATACCATTCTCCCCTCAACTGTAGTAACATACCATTCTCCCCTCCTCAGTAATAACATACCATTCTCCCCTCCTCAGTAATAACATACCATTCTCCCCTCCCCAGTAACATACCATAAGTAATAAGATACTATTCTCCCCTCCTCAGTAACAACATACCATTCTCCCCTCCTCAGTAATAACATACCATTCTCCCCTCAACTGTAATAACATACCATTCTCCCCTCAACAATAGTAACATACCATTCTCCCCTCCTCAGTAATAACATACCATTCTCCCCTCTCAGTAATAACATACCATCCCCTCCCAGTAATAACATACCATTCTCCCCTCCTGTAATAACATACCATTCTCCCCTCCACAGTAGTAACATACCATTCTCCCCTCCTCAGTAATAACATACCATTCTCCCCTCCTCAGTAATAGCATACCATTCTTCCCTCCTCAGTGATAACATACCATTCTCCCCTCAACTGTAGTAACATACCATTCTCCCCTCCTCAGTAATAACATACCATTCTCCCCTCAACTGTAGTAACATACCATTCTCCCCTCAACTGTAGTAACATACCATTCTCCCCTCAACTGTAGTAACATACCATTCTCCCCTCCCCAGTAATAACATACCATTCTCCCCTCAACAGTATAACATACCATTCTCCCCTCCCAGTAATAACATACCATTCTCCCCTCAACTGTAATAACATACCATTCTCCCCTCAACAATAGTAACATACCATTCTCCCCTCCTCAGTAATAACATACCATTCTCCCCTCAACTGTAGTAACATACCATTCTCCCCTCCTCAGTAATAACATACCATTCTCCCCTCCTTAGTAATAGCATACCATTCTTCCCTCCTCAGTAACAACATACCATTCTCCCCTCCTCAGTAATAACATACCATTCTCCCCTCAACTGTAGTAACATACCATTCTCCCCTCAACTGTAGTAACATACCATTCTCCCCTCCTCAGTAATAACATACCATTCTCCCCTCCCCAGTAATAACATACTATTCTCCCCTCCTCAGTAATAACATACCAGACTTCTCTCAACTGTAGTAACATACCATTCTCCCCTCCTCAGTAATAACATACCATTCTCCCCTCAACTGTAGTAACATACCATTCTTCCCTCCCCAGTAATAACATACCATTCTCCCCTCCTCAGTAATAACATACCATTCTCCCCTCAACTGTAGTAACATACCATTCTCCCCTCCCCAGTAATAACATACCATTCTCCCCTCCTCAGTAATAACATACCATTCTCCCCTCAACTGTAGTAACATACCATTCTCCCCTCAACTGTAGTAACATACCATTCTCCCCTCCTCAGTAATAACATACCATTCTCCCCTCCCCAGTTATAAGATACTATTCTCCCCTCCTCAGTAACAACATACCATTTTCCCCTCCTCAGTAATAACATACCATTCTCCCCTCAACTGTAATAACATACCATTCTCCCCTCAACAATAGTAACATACCATTCTCCCCTCCTCAGTAATAACATACCATTCTCCCCTCAACTGTAATAACATACCATTCTCCCCTCAACAATAGTAACATACCATTCTCCCCTCCTCAGTAATAACATACCATTCTCCCCTCAACTGTAGTAACATACCATTCTCCCCTCCTCAGCAATAACATACCATTGTAGTAACATACCATTCTCCCCTCCCCAGTAATAACATACCATTCTCCCCTCCTCAGTAAAAACATACCAGACTTCTCTCAACTCTAGTAACATACCATTCTCCCCTCCTCAGTAATAACACTGTATAACATACCATTCTCCCCTCATCAGTATTAACATACCATTCTCCCCTCCTCAGTAATAACATACCATTTTCCCCTCCTCAGTAATAACATATCATTCTCCCCTCAACTGTAGTAACATACCATTCTCCCCTCCTCAGTAATAACATACCATTTTCCCCTCCTCAGTAATAACATACCATTCTCCCCTCCTCAGTAATACATACATTCTCCCCTCCTCAGTAATAACATACCATTCTCCCCTCAACTGTAGTAACATACCAATCTCCCCTCTCCTCAGTAATAACATACCATTCTCCCCTCAGTAATAACATACCATTCTCCCCTCCTCAGTAATCATACCATTCTCCCC